GATATAATAATTAAGGAATTTATAATTATTCTTTTTGTTTTTTCTCTCTGCATATCTTGTCCAGAAATTAAGCAGATTTGTTTACTTTGTGGTCTCAGGGTGTTGACAGCCATAAACAAATATATTTTTCAATAATAAGTGTTGAGGGGTTCTCCCCTTTTTACACAAATGTACTCACCCAGTATATGCATATACCACTGCTACGTGAAGACCCGGGAGAGCAGGAGAGTGGAGTGAAAGGTTGTAGGTAACCGGAAGAGTGAGAGTAAGGTAACAGACAGACAGAACGAACGTAGCCAGCAAGAGTCACAGTGAGCGAGCACGTAGACTCAGTAAGAAGTCATACAGCGATACTTCAATATCAAAGACTGTATATATATATTGCTATTAACCGTATTCCTGGAACTACTAACCTGCATTACCAGTTTATATTATTACGTTAATACATTATTTTCCTATATTCATACTTGGCTTTTGTTATTTATTGGTACTGGATTTCATCTCGGAATCCACAACAATGAGTAATTAAGCAAGTAATATTTGTCAAGATCCAATAACGTATTTATTAAATTGACTAATTTCAAAGGATATTTTCTATCGCTGGTAGATTTTTAATTAAAGTTTACCTTTGTTTAGTGTTAACATGTTGATGTTGGCATCAATATGGCATAATGATCGGATAAATTTGAGATTTAAAAAATAATTAAAATAGTCTAATATTTATTTTGCGTACAAAATAATGGAATTTATAACGACCAACTTAATGCTATTTTTTGCAATTAAAAGCAAAATAAAAACTCATGTACAAACATGTTTAAAATATTGTATTACGTTTTAAGATTTTTACTAACAAGCCTGTCTTCATAAATATCTTGATCAAATTCGCCAAAAGGTGATTCTAATGTCTACAAAATATTTGATTTTTCAAAAATGGCGATATAACTCTAATTTTATCAATTAGCGAGAAAAATACAGGTGGAGATGCTGAATGTTTCACAGAATCAGTAAAATTATTTCAAATTCAAAAATGGATAATTTTAAGAGCAACTTGAAATTGGGCATTTTTTTTTTCATTTGGGCCTTATTACGTATTTGAGACAGAAACATAATAAAAGAAAGATTGGAAGAGTGGGGATAAGACGGAAAGTTCGAGAGAAAACCGTTCAGAATATAATGAAATGAGATAACGATGTGAAAGTTCATTGAGAAAAAACGGATCTTCAATTAAGTACAAACAAATGATCACTTTGGAACATACACACACTTTCTGTGTCATACACACGCACACACAGGTGTGTGTTTATTTTTATATGCCTTTTTTTAAACAGCTAGCGTTTGTTATTCATGTATTATTGATTGTAACTGACAACAAATGATCATTATGATGTTTAATCAACTTTTCTTGAGTCTGGACCAAATGTTGTACATTGGTTGGAAATCCATGAATATAGTCAGTGCATAGTTGAATTAGGAAGAGAGTAGAGTCTATTAAATTCAATAATACATACGCACAGACATGCACACAGACACACACACATGTATATATATATATATATATATATATATATATATATATATATATATATATATATGGTAAATATACACATACATATGCAGTCATATATCTAAAATATATATACATACATACATACACATACATACAAATATATATTTGTATAAAAAATAATTCCAAGAGGATAGAATACCGATAGAACTCAATGTCCAGGACAGAGTAAGGATATAATAATAAAAAAAAAAAGGCTTAAACACTAATATTCCATGGTCATAATTTATTCCATTGGAATCGTAAATACGATCCAATTCATAAGACCTACAATTTCAAAAAGAAAACAGAAAAAATACCTCCGGGAATAAAAAATAAAATTTAGTGAGAGTGTATGTATGAGAGTGTGGGACGAATGTTAGAGTAAATGAAAGCTATAGAGAGGGGTAACAAATGAGAGAAGAACAGTATTTATGTGTATGTACGTATATATCTGTACTTGTTATTATAGGTATATATCTGTACTTGTTATTATATGTATGTATATATTTATATATATATATATATATATATATATATATATATATATATATATATATATATATATATATGGGGTGTATGTGTGTTGACACCTATCATATGTGAGCTTGTTTGTGTGTATGTGTAGGTATGTAAACTTTGGTTTGTGTCTACTGCTGCGTGTGTAAGTCTATGTGTATATATATGTATATGTATGTGTATTTGTGTGTGTATATATATGTATATGTGAGTGTGTGTATATGTGTATATATATATATATGCATGTGTATATGTATTTGTTTTTATGTGTATATGTGTGTATATATGTATATATATATATATATGTATATATGTGTGTGTGTGTGTATTTATATGTATATGCGTGGATGGGAGTGTACTTATATATGTGTATATGTGGATGTGCCGATACGGGTATTTATACATGATTATATATTTGTATATGTGGATGTATATTCGTATGTCCAGCATATGTATATGTATGTATATCTTAGTGTCTTGGATTGTATCATCGATACTAACTAAAATCGACTTCTGTTTGATAGGGATTTTTTAATTGCTTATAGAGTTAATCCATAACGGTGTGTGGTTACCTTTTAAAAAATAATTGTGAACTTTTTATTTTATCGTCAATAAGATAATGTTGTTAGAATATATGTAGGTTTCTGTATATATATATTCCTATTTTTATATATATATATATATATATATATATATATATATATATGTGTGTGTATGTATGTATGTATATATATGTATATATATAAGGATGTGTATGTGTATATATGTTTATATAGGTGAATTTACATTTGTATGGGTTTTTTATGTATATGCGTGTGTTTGTATATGTGTTGGTATATATGTATGTTTAATTTATATACGCATATGTATACGTGCATATGTTTATGTATGTATGTGTATGTGTATATGTATGTATATGTGTATTTGTATATATGTGCATGTATGTATATATATTTATATTTGGTTTGTTTATTTTTACGTCGCTGTGTGGGTTGATATATTTATACTTGCTTTTGTATGTGTATATATACATATGTGTATGCATATATATATATATATATGTAGGTATGTGTAGACATATATTTGTGTGTATGTGTGTATGTGTATATATGTATATATGTGTGAATGTACACTTATATCTATAGGCAGTTCTTATTATCTTATTTTCTTTCACTTAATATATAATAAGGCGTATATCGACTTACATGATAAAAATATATTTTTTTATTGATGTTTGTGTTTTTGGCATTTTCATTTTTTATATATTAGATAATGTTATTTTTAAACATATATATCTGTTTTAATGTCCTTTCTTTCCCTATTCTTTATTTCTCTGTTTCATTTGACCATTTTTATCTATGTATAAGTTATATTTTAATAAGTGTTTAGTATTCGTTTAATATCACTTTCAGTCTTGAATATTTCTTGGTTGTAGTATCAGATTGTCTAGGTCAATGTATGCGGATGTGTGTACATGTATTTATCGGTGTCTATGTGTATAGAAAATGCATGCACATTTAATTGTGTATGTATGTGTTCGTTTTTTTTTGTTTTTTTTTATAAAGGGCCGTGGAGATGTTTCCTGTCTCGTCACCTTTTTGTGTGTGTATATATCTAAATATGTCTGGGTACTTATGTATTATAATCTGAGTGTGTTTGTATTGTTTTACACGAGAGGTTAGCACCCCACTCACACACTTGGAATAAAAATGTATGCATTTTGTCAGGAAGACCAGCCGATATTAGCGTCCATTCTAACGTAATTTCAATGAAAAAATAAATTGAATAACATGTTTTTTTTCTTTTCTCCTCAGTAATTTTATAATTTTAAACTTAATAGAGATTAAATTTAGATTTTAAAATTGGTAATTTTTTACTTTTAATTTTAATATCAAATTTATCATATAATTTAATACTTATTAGTTAGAATAAATTCTATTTTAGTATAACCCCAACTTCAAAGCTTTTAATAGCTATTATGACCTTACTTCGTTGTCAAGTTTTTTGAATTCTCGTATACTTGTGTTTTGATTGGTCATTATAGCTTATGCAACAGCGTTTTTCCCTGGTGAAGGATCGTTAATTAATTTGAAACTTTTAAAACCATTTAAATTCAACATCATCACTTGATAAGACACCGGAGGTGTTGAAACAAAATGGCTATTTTTGTAGTGATTTTATAACATATTTACGTCATGATTTTTAAATAAATAATTATATCTGCTCTGTATTGAGCACTCTTTTAAGAATAGTAATTGTTGGTTATTGGAATTTATTCCATATACACCAATCCTATACTTGGATATATATATATATATATATATGTATATATATATATATACATACATACACACAAACACACACACACACACACACATATATATATATATATATATATATATATATATATATATAGAGAGAGAGAGAGAGAGAGAGAGACAGTCAAATATTGCTGCTTTCCACGACTTAAAGTTTCATATGAACGGCGTTCTTATAATCTTCAGGTGATTAAAGAGGACAAGATACTCAGTTAAATATAAACTAAGTGGTCCCTTGGACTACCTGCAGTTTGTGAGCACGCCATATAACAAACTGAAGCTCCACATGAAACTTTAAGCCGCGGTATAGCCGCAATATTTGAGTATTGTTTTGTGCCATATATATTTCTTATTTTGGTTCTGTTTATATTTATATTTTACATCGAGCGCTGTTCTTATAGCTTCTTTATTTATTTTATTATTCAATATATTTTGATGTACTTAATGAGGAGTGAAAGTGATTTTGTTCATCACTACTTCATGAAGAGACCAAAAGATTGTTAGCTAAAGTATAGATATAACGAAGAGCAAATCCTTTTTATTTTATTTACTCATTTATTTTTAAAAGTCAACAATCTCGCTGTGTAAGTCTTAAAAACAGTCACAGGAAATCTTTATGAATGAATACCTTCAGATTTATAGTAACTCGAATACAGGCCAAGGAAGATAACCTCTCTCTCTCCTCTCTCTCTCTCTCTCTCTCTCTCTCTCTCTCTCTCGAAGATATGGTGGATGAGAATCATTCGCTGTCTTCAAAAGATCTTTATGCCAAACATGAGCATGTCTCATCTTCCATGTATTGAGCAGACAAAATTTGCACTGAACGAAAACAACAGATACCGATTTCATTAGTGAAACGTGATATTACTGAAGAGTACCCAATTAATTTGTGCCATAGATAACATTGCTTAACTTCTGCGTCATCTAAATTTCCATCTTACAGAAGACTAATTTTGTTGAATCACATTTGTAGGATTTTTAAATGTCACAGAAGCAAATAAATTCCATGGCGATTTCTTTTTCTAAACATATGTGTGTATGTATGTGTGTGTGTGCGTGTGTGTGTGCGTGCGTGAGAGAGAGCTCATATCTGTGTTTGCATGTGTGTTTATGTGTATTCGTGCGTATATAATGGCAGATCAATAAGTCCTTTGAACTTTAATGCTGATGAAAATTGGCCTGAAAGTTACCCCGTATAATGTTCGTTCTATGTCGAAAACAAATATTATTGTGTGAAATAGATCTTTTTTCCTCACTATGCTACGGACTTATTGATTTTTCTCTCTGTGTGTCTGTGTGTCGAGCTGAATACCATTCTCCTGATGTATAATTAAATTGAGCGAGAAATTCGCCTTCAGATTCATTGAAAAAAGATTTTGTTTTTAATTGCAAAGGTGAGAAGAAAAACGAGGAAATCTTTGCTTTCAGCTCTTTCGCCTTTTTTATTTTTATTTATTTATTTATTTTGAAAAACGGAAGACAAAAATTTCATCACAATTTTTCTTCTTTCAAGTTTGAATCTGTTCGATAAAAACGTGAAGAAAATCCACCTGTTTATCACAAGGACAGCATAAATCTTATTCTTTCACTGTCTACTTCTTTTCATTCTCTTTCTCACACGTTATCTCACTCTATCTCTATATCTCTTAGTCTCACTCCGTCTATCTATCTATCTATTCATATTTGTGTATCAATCTAAAATAAATAACGCGATAGCACGTTTACCTCCCTTACTTCAGTTCTGACTGCTTTCGTCATTATTTGCTGTCAAAACACTCAGCAGAATAGCATGTATCTGTAAGAGAAATATGGCTAGTGATAAGCTTCGATAAATGTAAAAAAATCGTGGGGGCCGAGAATTTGAGATAAAAAGCCTTTGTGCTTCATTTGACATTTTGTATCCGCGTGCAAAATATATCACCTAGTTTATTAAATTATTAAATATTCCTCATTTCTACCCTTAAATTTCAAGCGTAGAATGTGAACATGGACAAATAGCAATTCCCAACCTCGGAGTTTTTTCTCATAATTGTATGGTTATTTTCATTTTGATTAAATTTAATTTGATTTATTCTAAGGACTTTTAGTGCGTGTGACAAACATCTGTGAATGAATATCACAATCGAATAACATAACGCAAGAGAAATGTCAAGAGAAAATAAAAATTAGGCAAAAGGAATAAAGGTGAATATTTTGATATTTTTCTTTAAAATTTGCTTTTCCCTAAAGAAAAGACCGAAATTCTTTCAACATTCACGAGTAAACCTGAATAGTAAAAAAAGTAAGAAAAATTATATATATATATGTGTGTGTGTGTGTGTGTGTGTGTGTGTGTGTGTGTGTGTGTGTGTGTGTGTGTGTGTGTGTGTGTGTGTGTGAAGCTTGTATGGCAATGTCAGGTAATAAGAAAACCGTGTTTCGTCTGTTTGCTTGCCATCCTTATATATCAGCCGTTGAAATACTTTCATCTGGCATACAACATTGACCACAAGCATTAAATAATGTAAAAAATCGCCCCCAAAATAAATGCTGCGAAACAATTTATGCGTGGAAAATCTCTATCCATTATTAATCGTACATTTAATAATACGTACATATAAATACAGTTGTTATAATTGTACAGATATTTATTGTATGTTAGTAATGGCAGCGAATCTAACAGACCTTATATATATATATATATATATATAAAATATATATATATATATAATATCTGTCGGCAAGAAATTGTCGGCATTCTGCTGGATCAGTTGAAAGATTTCATTTTTGGTGCCATTCTGATATTTCAACATGTTGGACATTAAAGCAAAAAGTAACTGAGATCAATTGAAGAAATATTTTCTCCAAGGAAGGACGGAGACTACACCAGTCAAAACATTATGATTGAAACAACACCCAATCCTAATTCTTTATCGAATAATAAAGAAGAAGACTTAATTTCGGAATTAAAGTCAAGAATTAATTTGATTTAATTCTTGTATCACAAAAACATGTCTTTCACATTCTCCGTTGTAGCAGTCGAAGTAAAATCAGTAATCAGTAAAGATGGTAAAAAAGGAAAGACCATTCCTAAAGACAGCGTTGATTTCACGAAGCATCTTTAGTAAGTTTGGTATTCAGTTCAATGCTACCTTATACTTAACTAGGTTTCACAAAATATCATATCGTATTCAATACTGTAACAGTCACAATGAGGTTGGAGCAACTTGCAATTAAAAATCTAGATAGCCAGAGCCTGGTAGTTGATCTCAACTTTGACTTAAATTCTAAAAGATCAACGAGAAAAACCACCTGACTTTCAATCCTTCCAAAAGTAATAACGTTTCATCACCACGAAACAGACAATGAATCATCGCCTATCAGGATGAATGTTGTACTTTCAGGGAAGCTCTTTGCTTCAGAATGTATGTTGAGATTCGTTTACCCCAGACCTCAAGTGGAATACATATATCCGTTCCATCACTAAGGATGCCGGTAAAATGGTCGGTTCTTTGAACTGCTCCAGCAATTATCTGACTGCTCCATCTATCCTTTGTCTTTACAAGAGCCAGATCAAACCAAAAATGGTGTATTACTGCCATAACTGGTGTTAAGCTGCCCAGTCCTCACTTTCTAGTCTTGATAATGTTCAAATGCGTCTACACGGCCATATGGGTAATAAACTATTTTCCACTCTACAGTCTCTTTCCCGCAGATGAACGTCGCAAGCCTCTCGCTATTCTATCGCTATTTCCATGGGAAATGTTCAGACAAACTATATTCATTAGTTTCATAATTTCAAACCTTCATAGCTAAGAACGGCCATGCAAAGTTCACAGAGAATTAATAAGAAGGAAGTTCCATTCGAGCAGTTTCTTCCCAAGAATCGCTAATTTGTGAAAGAGATTCCCAAGAGGATGCTTCCTTAATCGCTACAATCTTAACATCTTCAAACCTAGGGTGAACTGTTATCTTTCCTACCTATCCGCATAATCTGCCCTCCTTACTCCTCCCCACCCTGTTGAATTGATACAACAACCTCATTCAGTAATCCTCTAGTTTGAGTGACTTGAATTTTATATCGGGTGATCAGTTAGAATAACTCGCTTGTCATGAAAAACTAGCATTTTCTTCCTTCTTAGTAGATATGTGGCAACCTATGAATTTTAGAAGTGGCTAAAGATTTTCTTTCTCAAATCGGTAAGAACGCTAGAGTTTAACACGTTCACGGAATAGAATGCCAAGTGATATTTTGCTTAAGAGAATAACCAAAAGCAAAAATGAAAAAGATGGAAGCACCTTCTAAAGACCAATGGTGATTTTCTAAGCATAGCTTAGATGTGGCACCCAGTAAGGATCGAACTCACTACTCAGTTCTAATTGTTCTAGCGAGATAAGCTTGGTATTACACCTTATCAAGGTGCCCAAGTGATTTTCTAAGTGTAGCTTATACGTGGCACAAGGCCAAAAGTGTGGAGCACCCATTGAGCATCGAACTCATTACTCAGTCATAATTTTTCTACAGACAGACTTGGTAACGGAGTGCCAAACCTCTAATAACCAATGAACGTAACATACAACCTAGAAAGGCCGAAGCATATATCGACTGAAATGTTGCGTTAAAAACAACAAAGAAAAATGTCTGCAATAACAATTCTCAAGTTTCGCTCTCTGTGTGTGTGTGTGTGTGTGTGTGTGTGTGTGTGTGTGTGTGTGTGTGTGTGTGCGCACGCGCGCACGCGCGCGTACGCGCGTTCCGTGTTTTTGCTCGGCAAGTAGGAGTTAGTGTGGTTGGGAGCTCATAATTATGCATGTGATCTTCCTTTGCATATTTTTCGAATTGACTTCTTAATTAATAGTGTTGATTATTTGGACGTCAAATGAGTCTCTACTTGGGAGATCATTTCTTTATGAAAAGCACCTAATGACATGTTCTGGCGGAGGACGTGGTTAATCAGACGAACGCACGCAAGAAATCGATGGAATATTCGAACAGCGATTGAGCAAAGGCCGGGCAAAGGGATTCGCGGCGGGTCTTCCGGCAGGTATGAATAAACGTGGGTAGATTATTCTACCTAAGCACAAAGCTGTGGGTGTGCGACAGTAATGAGAATCAAATTCTGGTCGTTGTAGAAATGACTCTGGATAACTCCTTCCTGAGGCATTAACACACAACGACATGCATCCAGACAGAGACTTATGAACAAACAAAAAGGACAGATGGAATTAGTCAAAGCGAACAAAATAAGAAATTCTTTTTTCCTTCCAGTCTCTTTTAGAGAATTTCTCAGATTAATTCATTTCAGTTTAAATAAAACCAAACCGAAAAGGAGTCTTTAAACATTTTCATTTCTTCATTATTTCTGTTTTTCTTTGGTTTCATTGAAATTTGAAGACTAGAGTAAAAAATAATTTCATTTTTTTTTTTTTATTGACAAACCGAATAAATTTGCAAGAAGATGCATGAAAGAGACGAAGTGGCCAGGAATAAATGTCTATTCGCCAGTTTCTTGAGTGTAGACAGGATTCGATTCTGTTTCATTTTGTTTTAATTCATTTATAATCGAAGCAAATAAACTGAATTTTTTGATTTGCTGGCTCCGCACTTAACTCAAATAATTTTTCATTCCTTTTCAGGTTTATTTTTTGAATGGGTTTTTCTTTTTTTCATTTTTTTAATTCCTCTTTTTTTTTACATCTGAGTTCTGTTTATTCTCTCTATTGCCAGTATCGGAAGGATGGCAACAATTTTAAACAGGACTTTTCAGTTTTCAGTTTTGATTTGATATGCTGTTACATTCTTATAAACTAAAGTTCCTATTATGCTAAATGTCTCTCAATGCTAAATGTGTTTATTTTTATTTAACGAAAAGATGAATTTTGTCAAACACAGAAAGTGCGTTCCCCTCCCTCGACAATATAGAATAATTTTGGGTGAATCTTAATTTTCTTTTTAAATCAAAATTTTTAATGCCTTTTTCATGTTGTATTTTGTTTTTAAAGACATTTTTTGACCCGAAATGTTCCATTTTTTCTCAATTGTCTATTCGTTATTCTTTTTGTCCAGGTTTTGTGGGTGGAACAGCAAGAGATCAAGCAACGGGACAAACGTGGAGTTTCATATGCACTTTACAAGAAGGAAGCCTTCACAGACCCGCTCTGGGAAAAGGAATGGTATTTGGTGAGTTTGTCACTTATCAAGAGATATTGAAACAAAAGAATGGAATATAGAATAAGTAAATCAACAAATAGATATTAAGAGATGTTCAGCGTAAAAAAAAGAATATAATTTTGATTGAATGCATGATAGAAAAACACGGTTTTAATGAATACTTCTTTTATGTGTCGTGTCTCTTCAGGGCGTAGATGATAGTGGATCTCCACAACTTCCTATACTTTGTTGCTTTAATGTTTGTCTGCTTACTATCCTTCTCAGTCTCTGTCCTACCAACCATTTACACAAATGTGTTAAGTAGGTTACACACTGTTTCCCTCTTTCTTTCAGTATATCTTGTGTGTCACACATTCTCCAAGCCCTCTTTCCTCATTATGTGTCCTAGAAATTCCAGCTGATCTCGCTCTGATTTTAAATACGTACCATTTTTGTTTCCATTTTCTTTTTAGCTTTGTTGCAGTTCACGTGTTCATTATATTCTCATCATCCTTCTGTAGAACCACGTCTCTGTTGCCTCAAGATTTCTCTTCATCTGTAAGGAAATGGTCGAGAATGGATATTATGTAGCAGTTCATCATACTTTTTGTTTCTAATGACATTTTCCTGCTTCTTAATACTTTGTTTAGCTTTTGGAAATCATCTTTCGCTGTTGCAATGCGCCCTCGGATTTCTTTGTCAAATTCTCTATTTACCAGATAATTGAATGTTTGTATTTGCCTGATTTTGGCCTCCTCAATGTGTTGCTCGCATATCTTGTGCTGACAACACTTTGTTCTGTATTCATACAATTGAGGCTTAGTACTTTCTTCCCGCTTTCCTTTATTAACTAAGAGTTCCTGCTGTTTTCTTTCTTTGCCACTCATATATTATTTTGTTATGATTATGCCAAACAATAAATCTTGGTCGGTTTTCTACTTTTTTTTTTAAGATCATCTAATTGTACAAACTAAATAAATTCAGGTGAGAAAGTGCATATTTGTCTTATGTCACTTTCTAATTTTGTGTGCTTGCTCAATTCATTTTCTATACAGTTTGTTCCACTAAATGTTGTCGATTATCCTAATTTCCACTCCTAAATTAATCAGGTTTCCCTAGCAGCTCAAAAATATCTTTTACATAATCTATGAAACATACATACAGGTCATTCTGTGTTTATATTACTCGCTCTGATAACATTCTAATCATAAAGATCACATTTACTTTTCCAATTTCCTTAACGAAGCCACACTTTTCTTTCTCTATTTTCATTCTAACTATACTACGCGCTTTATTCACCAGAATCCGGATGATAAGCTTAGTTATGTGGCTCATTAAGCTGATTGTCTGATAGAGAAGACATTCATTTTCAATTGGCTTCTTAGGCAGCACTATGAAGATGGATCTACTTTGATATTCCGGTATTTTGCCACTCTTATATATTTTATTTTTTATTTCCATAATCTTTGTTGATCCTGAACTCATTAAGGTTGAGATAACATTTCCATGACAATTCCATCTGGCTCTGTTGCTTTGTTCCTCTTTGTCATTGCCGATCTGATCTCATCTTTCAGATTCTTCTATGTCTTTATCTATTGTAGGTTTCTTTCTTTGGTTTTGGGAATGTTCCATCTTTTAAGTATTTTTCTCTATTATGAAAAGCACAACTTTCGTTCTGTTATTTTTTTTATTCTTTTATGCACACATATCGCACCTACGTTGATCTTTCTTTCTATTTCTGCACACTTTTCCTTGACCCGTTCATCTTTTGTCTGCCTGCTTGCATTTGTTCATACTGTTTGTGTTTAATATTCTGTAGTATTTCTTGGTATTGTCTCTGTTTATCATCTAGGGATTTCATCTTCCATCCAATTCTTTTTTCTTGTCTCTCTTTCCTTAGGATAATCTCGTCCACCAATGTTACTAAAGCTTCCCTTAAAGAATTCCGTTTTACGTTTCTGGCTTTCTTCTGTTTGCACGTTGAATCCATCCTCGAGTCTTTCTTACTGGATTTGAGATTTTGATTTGATTTCCTTTAATTATTTCGCAGTTTTAATCTGAGTTTGAATCTGGCTGGAAAGGTTTTAGAGTGGAGAAATGCATTCCTGAATTTTTTATAAATTGATATGTCGTTGTTTGATTCTTCCTGCCTCTGAATGCACTTTTCTATGTCCACAAGCGTTTTTGGGCTCTTGGTACTAGGGTTTGGTTACTATTTGTCGTTTATTACGCAATATTAGTTCCATTTCTCACCACACTCGTTACGATATCCTAGTTCGCAGTTGTTGACTATTTCACTGTCACTCTTACTTTTTCTTACTGTAGCATTTACGTCTCCTGTAATCACATTTCATTTTTGTGAATAATAATGAAATAATTGTTTTGTCATCTTAAAAGTAACACAATCTGCAAGTTTGAATAGACATGATTTATGTATATAGATGCACACACACACACAAACACACACACACACACACATATATATATATATATATATATATATATATATATATATATATATATATATATATATATAACATCTACTTGATGACTGAGGTAGTTGCTTACTTCTCACTTATATCATTGGTCGTTATTCAAACCTAAGTAAAAGTCATGGATTTTACGTTGATTTTTACAACGATCAGGCCATTGTTACTCAGACGATTGGTGTAATCCAATTTACATCCACACCAGTAACATTCAGATTGTCTGTGCCAAAGTAAGATTCTTACTTTTTAAAACTAAGCTTGTATGACTACGCATGCGCGCTAATATTTAAACACTCACCAATTGGAAGATTGGTGCAACACAATCATCCCACCTAACTCAGTTTATTTGTTTCGAAAGAACATAAGTAAATGTTTCCATGCACTACATGTAGGGGGAAGTAAATTATACATGACCCGTTTTTGGATTGATTGCTTTAGCCATTTAATGTTTTTCTGTTGTTATTTTTTTTAGTGAAAGCTCAAAACAGACAACAAGGCAGACAGACATTTACAGTAAATTGATACAAAGATTAAAAAGAAAAAAAAACATCTCTAACAATGATTATCTACAAATATCGAGTTGCATTATGTGATAATTTCTTCTCTAATCGTACGAGATAATAAAATATTTGCTGTAAAAATCCAGCCACTGGGTGGTCGTCACCCTTGGGACAGACAATGCTGATTATATATATATATATATATATATATATATATATATATATATATATATTATATATATATATATATATATAAGAGATTAATTATCTAAAAAAAATATATTTATACGATTGAATACACATCTATGGAATCAGTAAACTGAGTTCAAATTTGGGCCGAGAAGATTACGTTCACTTTAAACTAATGCCCTTGGGAACATGAGGAATCCATTTCTTCTGCTCTCAGCCATGAGTTAAATTGCAAAGTACATTTGTCTCTTGAGTTGGGAGCGTAACCAATATTTCACTAGCTAATGTGGCAAGTGGCAAGTTAGGTTTATTATTTCAGTATTATTTCTTAGTTCTCTTGGTCAAAAACTGACCAATTCTCTGTCTTATTTGTCGTATGGTTCTTCTTAGGTTAAAGCGGACATCGATGCATTTGTAACTTCTTTAAAATATCAGCTGAAACCACAATCTTCTTGATTCATACCTGCTTTAGCCCAGAGGAATAACTTTTTTTCCAGCTGTACCAGCGTGATACTTCACAATAGACGCTTCTTTGCTCGTAATAATTGTAAACATGTCCTCAAAAAGGCTAAGTCTTTGTGTGCTGACAAAATGAAGCACAGTATAACATCTAAGTTTGGTTCTCGTTTCTACTGTCGGCTCTGTAATAGTGACTTAAATAAATTTCCCTCCTCTGTTCATTCAATTTGATGTGTTAGCATCTTCTGCTGAAAAATCTGAATGTTTTCCTTAAAAAAATTCTCTTCAAATTCTACTCTTGACTTATCTGGAGAAGTTTTGCCTCTCTTTTTACTTAAAACTGAGTTTCTCCTGAGTGATATGCATATAACTGCCATGGTTTCTGCTATCCCTGAAATAGTAGTCCTTAAGAAATGTGCTCCTGAACTGGCTCCTGTTCTCTTTAAACTGTACAATAAATGTCTTGTTGCTTCTTGCTTTCCTGCTTGTTGGATATCCTCTTCTATAGTTCCAGTCTTTAAGAACTCAGACGAACTTTAAACAACTTTGAATTTGTTAAACATCTAACCTCGCAGTGTCTTCTTTCCGATAAACAATATGGCTTTCGTTTCTCTAGGTGAACAGTTGATGTATTAAATATTATTGCTGAAATAATCTATCAGGCTTCAGATCAGAATGGTGAAACTCGGGCTGTTGTCATGCTGGTCTTAAATGGTTATGATGTTTCTGGACGTTTTTCCTAATTTTCATCAACGACATTCCTGATGTCATCAGTTCTCAACTCGGTATCTATCCTGATGACACAACTATTTACTCTTGTCTTAGTAAGTCTGATCGTTTCGATAAGATCAAATTGGCAGCAGATATAAAAAATGGCTTAACATCTGTTGTCAACTGAGGTAAAGAATGCCTTGTTAATTTTAACACTTCCAAAATGAAACTGCTTGCTTCTGACATGATGTGGAAAGAGTATATTAAATCAATTGCTAGATCTGCTGCTAAGAAAGTCTGTTCACTGTGTCGTGCCAGACATTTTTTTTTGCTAGAATCTATCTTATATATTTATAAGTCTACCAGTCGTCTATGTATTGAATATTGCTGTCACATCTGGTCGGGTGTTTCTACAACGTGTTTAGAGATTCTTAATAAAATCCCCAAAAGAATCGGCAATGTTGTTGATCCTGACTTGTCATCTCTGTTTCAGTCACTTTCCTATCACAGTAACGTAGCTTTCCTCTGCTTCTTCTATAAACACTTTCATGGAAATTGTTCTGATAAGCTATTTTCTTTGATACCTAGACTTTGTTAAGTTAAGCACAGTACTACATTGGCAACAAGGTCTCATTATTTTACAGATGAAATGGCTAGATGTAACCGTAAGTTCTATGCTAACAGTTTCTTCTCTCTCACTTCTCATCTATCGAAACTTCTTCCATCCTCTTGCTTTCTAGCCAACTTTGATCTTAAAAAACTTAAATACAAAGCTAATGGATGTCTTCTGTCTTCTTAATTCCTGTTCTTTTATTGTTCTTCTTCCTTTTCTTTTTCTCATATTCTCTCACACTCAGTAACCTCATCTTCCACCTTAGTGGCTTTATTGCCTTGTTTATAGGCGAAATGATTAATATATATATATATTGTACAAATAGCATTTGTTCAATTTTTCATGACACATCCGATGTTAAAAAATATGAAAAAGAACAAGTCATTGAAAAATACATATAGACACATATACATGCATACATACACACATGCATATATACACGCACTCACACACGCATATATATAGATATAAACATAAATACATATATATGCAAAAATACACATACATACATACATATACCTTCACAGATATAACAAAATTAATGGCAATAGATATTCACAAGGTTGTCAGATTTTGATGAAATATATAAAAGTTTGTCATACTCAGCCTTTTGGCTTACATCAGTTCTAAATCTACATCAAGACTTTGGCCCTTTAATTCATCCACATTTTGATGTATGTGGGCCAACAAATACACCTATGCTTTGGAGGACCGTTAGGTGTGATCACCAGTACAATATCAAGAATAATGAACACAGAGCAATTGGATGATTGTAATGTAAATATTAAGAACTTTGTATCCCCTGAGGTGTGAACGAAGCATTTGCTGCAGGGTTCGTCTACAAAATTCTAGTATAGGGATGCTGAAAGTAACATTAATAAGCTGAGTGACAAATTTGATATTTTTATCAAATATATATATATATATATATATATATATATATATATATATATATAAAAAACTTATAACAACATTAATTAACATATATTATATATTAAACATGTGTCATTTTAATGTGACATACCGTATAGGTTTTTTATAAATTTTTCTATTTTTACTGTTTTCTTTTTGGGATTCCTAAGGGAATACAGAAATTGTTCGTAATGTTTAGTGTCTCAAGCACTTTCAACCATTCGTTAGACATTTTCAAGTGGTCCGTTGTTAATGTTTTTCCCTGTTCGTGTTATAAGATGTATAGTGTAGAAGTATTAATAATCTTAATCTACGTAAGAAGATGCGGCATGATTTTGTGTTGGTTTATCTTCCTTTATTAAATACAGATACATTGACGCGTAGTTTAAAATGCTTTATATAAAGAACTTCAATAATTTTTAGCCGAGATGCTTTTTTTATGGCACTGATATCACTTAAGTAGCTTATTATATATGTCCTATCAATTACTTAGTCGTACTTCCTAAAGAGCATTTGATTGAGGTCTCAAAATAAACACTAGAGATCAAATCCTTATTTAGGAGAGAGTGAGAGAGAGAGAGAGAGAAAGAGAGAGAAAGAGAGCGAAAGGGAACACAAACGTTTCACATTATCGCCCATCTCCAATATTTACCAAGTCATAAAAAAGAGAAACATAGCTCTATCAGGTAAGCCTTGCATAAGATATAGATTGGTTGTATCATTAACAATTAATGAGCATTTCTTCAAAGGTTTTCAATTCACCCGTTACTTTTTAAACGTTTTTTATTATTTGTTACTTCGCATTTTGTTTTTTTCATGCTGTTCGGTTGTTTGTATATAAAAAAAAATGTGGTAACCATGCAAATATAAATGCCTGTCGTAACTTAACAAAAACAAAAATGTTTTCGATATTTTCTTGTCCCAATGACAAGTGAGGTGAAAAAAGAGGCACTTTAATGGCGAATGTCTTAGACATTAGTTTATTTTATCATTATAAATTTGAACTCGAGCTAAACTACTCGATTAACTTTATTGATGTTGTCCCGTTTCCATCTGCTGTTATGAAAGTCTGTCTTGACGCCTAATTTTTTTTTTGACGCCTAAATTTCTTAGAAATGTTTTTTTTTTTTTTAGAGAGACCAACGACGCTCGAGATTCGACGACCTGAACGTCATTCCGTGCTGGTCGCGAAACCTAACCGGAAATAATGTTGTCATCACGATTCTGGACGACGGTAAATCGTCTTGTTTATTCTTATTTTCAATTCTACCTGATCGTCTTCCCGCGCTTTCTGTCGTTCTTTCAACCAACTCATCTAATTTTTAAATATCTAGATAAACAAATCCAATCACACGACTTCGCTTACAGTTTTCATAAAACGAGACTTTTTCAATTCATTTAAATTCACCGACCAAACGAATGAGACAATATCTGTTAGGTTTGTAAATGGTGCGCATTTGAAATTCAAATCCGATAATCATTTTGTATTTTCTACCTTCAGAAAAAAATCAGACTTCAAAGTTTCGTGATTGAATTTGTTTATCAATAAATCAATAACATGATTTTATGATTTAAGTGTTGTCTAGACTAAGTAATTGTTTTTCTCTGTGATATGTTAAGTAATCGATTCTTTGGGTTCATGCCTTTTTAATAATACTACATCAAAGTGATATTTTTAAATTAGAAATTGATTTTGTTAAGTTTTCTAAAAAGATAGTTTTGTAATTTTTAAGCATTTATTGAGGCATACTGAGTTTGTAAGATGATGCAGCGCCAAATATTGAAAAGTATATGTGTAGGCAATAAATATTAATAATTGTGAGAAGAAAATTGCTACGTAAGAAACTTATATACCTATTTCATAAGATGATGCATTGCTAAATATTGAGAAGCAATTTTGCAGGCTATGAATATTAATAATTACTCACGAGAAGAAATTACATCATAAGAAACAAAGCGAATATAGCATAAAATAAAAGTATCACAAAAATATTGCAGAGGAAGAATCAGAAAGAATTTTACTATTCATCAATCTACTTCTCATTTGCTTAGTGGCTGAAGTAGTTTCTTTTTTCAACTGGCGCATGCAGTTGGAATTCAAGCTAAAAACAAGAGTTTCCCAAAACTGATTTTAAAACCAGGCTAGCCTTCTTCCTCTTTGACTGTATCTGATCGTATATAACTTGATATATATATATATATATATATATATATATATATATATATATATATATATATATATATGAGATTAAGAAATAAGGACAGAGAGAATGGGTGTGTCAATGCATACGCCACATTTCCTTTTGTCTCGAGCTAAGAAAAACTTTGTAAATATCTATAAATTACGCCTGCTGTAAAGCGATAGTAAGCAGGTTCGCTTTAGAGACTGTTCAATGCCATTGTGAATTTGATCGTGAATGTCGCCTTGAGCCAAACTCAGCTGTCCATTTGTGAACGCCTCAGAACAAAGTTGTTCGTCGTCGGCTATTGCTATTAGTTCGATTGCCACCAAATTTCTCAATATTGATGGGCGCCTGCCTTAGAGTTTCAGTTCTCAATCACGTATTGCATATCATTGTTTATCGTGTAAGTTCTATATTCACTGAATACCTCACTCTGAAGAGATATTTAGTAAATATCTGCCAAAGTTTTCAGGTGGGAGAGAATATATATATTCATTATTATCGACCAGACAAATTTTATATTAACAGTCGTTTCTTAACTTTTAATATTAAAATCTTTCTGATGTACACTTATGAAAGAGACTTCCTTTCTTGTTGCTATAAAATATTTGCCAAAAATATAGCAAGGAAATAAACAGCCTCTTTAAGACGAAGGGGAAGGAGTTTTTCCTTTTTATATGCGAGTTTCTCCATTACTCAACATGACATTTTAAGCATCTTCTTTCGTTTCATTATGCGACTTGGAGTTTTTTTATTATTAAAATTTAATGGCTGTTATCGTTATGAAGTCAGATTCAACTAAAATGGATTTACGTTTACGAATGCTTTTTCCATTATTTCTTGGTTTCTGTTTTTTTTGGTGTTTTTTTTTGGGGGGGGGTGTTTGTTTTTTGTTTTTTTCCATCTGACTCCAAGCTAACAATAGTTCAGACGAAAGATATTTCAAGAATTATATGAAAACAAACTTCAAAGGTATATATGTGTGTGTGTATGTGTGTGTGTGTAATATAAATATCTATATACCAAAACAATGTTAGGCAATTGAATGAAAAAGTGGGAAGATTCGGTTTAACGCATTTCGTCATCTAAGACGACTTCATCAGACTAAAATAATGTTCTTATTGATGAAAATATATATGTGGAAAGGAGATGGGTAGATATAAATGCAAGTATCAGTTATAAGTTATGCATTGAAGGAAATTCTTAAGATGTGGGAACGCCAAACTCGATTTACCGAATTTTACTAATATTTAACTAATACTTAATATTACCAAATTTTTCCAGTTTGTCATATATATGTGTATATATATATATATATATATATAAAGACATTTTTATGTTTATACATTCTTTTTTATATAGATACAAATATTTAAGTAAATGCTCTGTTTATAATAAACAGTATTAACAACATTTACCGGCCTGAATATCCGAGAAATTGCCATAGAAAATATGCGTCATCCGATAGGAATCGAACCTGTATCCTATACGGAACCGTCATATAGCCTGACATGCTTTTACAGATTTCGCCACAGAGCAGCGTTCAGTTAGCAAGGTCGATTTTACTGTTTTAAACTACAATCTTCCATGATTCTCTCATATCTGCTCAATGCGTATCCAAATGTAAACAAATGACGTCACACATTATGAAATGGACAAAGTCCGACAATTATTTTAAGACATTTTTAAAAAAAAAGAATGTATAAACATAAAAATGTCTTAAAATAATTTATTCATATATATGTGTATGTGTGTGTATGTTTGCTTGTTTGTTTGTTTGAACAATATACACAACTTCTGTCTAGAAAATCTTTTAGAAAAATTTTCAAATTTCCGAAATAGTTTTATATTATTTTTCTAAATTTCTTTATAAGTTATTGATCCTACCAAATACTTTAAATTTATCTTCTATTATAAAAAATTCAAAACGTCTAATCTGATGCTTAAAAATAATTCATAACCTCAAAAATCTAATCTATGTATAAATAATGTTGTTCATGCCATTTGGGAGATTTTATCTTCAACACTAACAATCAACAAACAATATTAAATTCTTACATTGGTCACACATGTCACACAAGCTCTCATAGGCTGCCTTGTCATTTGTCAAAATTTAGTGCAATTCGCTCACATATAGATGAACATATAACAAATAAGTAAACTAATATTAACATAAGACAAACTTTAGTAGATAACACCGAAATTTTATTTAAGACACGGTGCAATGAAATACTCCAAATTCTGGAGGCTGTTGTAATAAAAGAGAAGCAGCTAACATTAAATAAGGTATCTTTCTCCGTTCTTATCATATATTGAAGTGTGTCTTAAAAAAATACAGATAACAATTCCAGTTTGGCCGTTTAAATAACGTCACCTTGAGTGACTTGGTTCCAGCAAACATGAGAATGCCAAAATTAAATGAAAACAGTTGCATAAATATACACAAAACAAAATCCTTGAAAGCGAATGTAACAACTATCGTCCGGTTCACACACCTCCCCGGTTTCCTGAACAGGAGTAGGGATTTATCCCTTGATTCCAGTTTAGGATTCGGTTTCCGGTTCTTGCTAAAGACTACTTCCAAGCTAACTACAATTCAGCGACCATCCCCCTCCCCACACACACACACTATTTTAAAACATTTTGAAATTTTTATGTGTGTGCGCATAAACATACCGATCTTGGTAAATATGGACGTCCATACGCGACATTATCAGAAAATAAGCGTGATAACAATAGTAAATTTAAAATATATTCTTAATTTTCTAAAATTTCCTCGGTAAGCGGAAGTAAGACTATAAAACCAAACCACTTAAAATTCAGTAAAATATTAGAATGTTTAAAATATTTGAATTTTTAAGATTACTGGGTAGATGAAAAATTATTTCCCCCTTGCCTAAATCTCGCAATCGTCAAGTTATCGATAAATCCATCAACATCTTGTAAAAAACACTCACCTCACTGTCAAAAAATTATTTACTGCGATGTTTTAAACTGACAGTAAGTAATATTTGTCTTAATTCAGATTTAAATCAGATAATCTTTCTCAAATAAAGTTTCAGAAAAGTATGTTTTATTTTTGAAAGTTTTTTAATAAAGCGAATCAAGTTGTATTAACAGATTTGTCAATATGGTCGATTTTAGTGATTTTAGAGATTTCAAAAAAGTCAATCATTTAAGTCAATTTAAATTCGGTTTGAAATACAGCAAAGTGTTTTGCTTATAGGAAATATTAAATTTATTGTATTAGCTTGAAATTAAAAATAAATATTTTTCATTTTTAAATGCATTTAAAACTTTGCTATCGCTTTTTTGTGGGTGCCTATATATATATATATATATATATATATATAGGTGAGTGTGTGTGTGTATTTTTAAACCATGTTTAGTAAGAGTAAACAGTTTTCGCCACGTTCTCGGATGTGTGTTTGCGTTTAAGCCATGTTTAATAAGAATAAACAGGTTTCGCGACGCCTAAATAGGAGACCTAACGGTCGAAACCTAGGAAGTGTGGTAGCTTGAATTTTCGTGTTTCTAATTATATTTTACTCTACAATTCAAAGTTTCCGGATTTTTTTATTGAGCGCCTTTTTTTTGGATTGCACCTTCTCAAACGCGGCTATTTACAGCTCTTTTTACAATATACTATTTTGTATTTTATATTGTATTTTAAATTTATATATATATATATATATATATATATATATATATATATATATATATATATTCTTTTATTTAAATACATATATATATATATATATATATATTCTTGTAACGCGTTTCATACTTTAGGACTTCATCGGACGTCATACATTTTTTCTCCACTTTTGTTCTTGATATATGAAAATATATATCGTTATCACATAGACTCACACGTGCATATATATATATATATATATATATATATATATATATATATATATATATATATATATATATATATATATATATATGATGTTAGTTTGATTTAGAAAATTTATTGTACTCCTTTTTTTTCCACAAAGAGGTAACATTTATCCTTTTTTTGTTGTTGTTTTCCACTCTAGAGAAGACATTCTTCTGCTTCTAATATGAATATAAACCTTTCTATCACGTACAGGGCGCAGATTTTATATACATACATCACAATTTAGAAAACAATATATCGCTTTGATATCATGTGGTTTAAAATGTACTTCTTGTATATTACGGTTGAAAATTTTTGTCTCTACCCAAATTCGAATACAGAGAAGCAATGTTAAAAGCAACCTGCAAACTTTCGTCAAGTAAAGAATTTAGATTTCTGGGATAGAAAGGGAGAGAAATGTCTCAAATGTCTGTCTGTCTGTCTGTCTGTCTGTCTGTCTGTCTCTCTCTCTCTCTGTTCTTCACTCATTACCTTTTCGTCGGTATGTGACTCCACCACTCCTGTCAACTCTTCAAGTTGCTCACATGAAACAGGAAATATGCTTTGTAGACATAGATTTTTCTTACAACATCGTTTACTCCCGCTCGCATGTACCACGATGTTATATATTTGGTCGTTTCCACAGAGACAAAATTATTGAATTTTTAAGAGAAAACCTTTCAACCATTTTCATTGAAATAGACGTCATTCTTAATGACGTCATTAGCTAAAAGCAAATTTTTTATGAAGATTTTCCAGATTTTGGGAAAGATTTTCTTTCGCTCTCTCTCCCTCTCTCTCTCTCTCTCTCACACACACACACACACACACACACACACACACACACACATATATATATATATATATATATATATATATATATAAATATATTAAATGTAAATGATAGTTTAATTAAAAACAGATCATTTACTTAAATAAATTGTATCTATAAAAATAACGTATAAAAAGAAAATATATCAAATAATTGTCGGACATTTCATAATATATTGTCATTGTTTACGTTAAGAAACGTTTCGTGACCAGAAATGATCGATCGAGAAAAAACGTCCAGTATTGTGTGTTTATAAACAGTAATTCGGACTTTACTAAACCGATGTTTCTCTGTAGATGAATATACAGCACATCATGTTAAATGGCGGTTTCCGTATAGGAATACAGGTTCGATTCTTGTCGGAGAACGCATATATTTTACGAAATTTCTCGAACATTCAGGCCCTTAAATGTAATTAATACTGTTAAATTAAAAACAGTGAATTTACTTAAATAAATTATATCTATAAAAATAACTTATAAACATAAAATATATTAAGTATATGTGTGTATGTGTGTGTGAAGATTTTTCCATGTAATGTATTTATTTTGTCAATATTTTCAAAATACTCACTTGTAGTTACAAGTGAGTATTTTGAAAATATTGTGAGTGCTCGTGTCTGTTGTGGGCGTGTGCACGTATGAAAATCATTTTAATTCATTTCATACAGAAAAACCAAGTTTTTTTTTATTTTTATCGCGTCACATATGCGCATGTTCTCACTTGTCAATAACAATTAAATATTTTCTTTCTTATTCATTGTTTCAACTTCCATAAGTTTAGAACGACAGAACTTTTACTTAGTCGAAAGTTTGGCCGTTAAAAAAAACAACATTAAACAAATGGAAACATAAAAAATTTCACTTTCTTGAACAACTTTGATTTGAATTGTTTTCCTTTCAAGTAAACAATGCCATCTGACGAGTCATCAGGACGTGAATCTACACAAAACATGTAAAATAAAAAGCAAAAACGAAATAAAGTCCAATGAACTAAAATTACACTACTTGCCGGATTCTTTCTTTTCAGTTATGTCTGAAAATATAAATAACGCAGCCATATGAAGATAATAACTTGCAAAATACATTTCTTATACGTATCGGTATCTGGTCGGCATTTATTCTTGATTGCCAACTAAATGTTGAATTCTCATTTCTCAAATAAACATTCTTATTAAAGTCTCAACTTGGAAAAAGCAATTCAACTAGGTTACACGTAGACAGCGCAGATGGGCGAAGATGAATGAGGAATAACTAGTCTCGCTCAAACTGGTAACGAACAAGTCTAACGCAAAAAGAAAACACTTCATTTTACATTCTTGCAATGAAACCGACCATATCCACACCTAAGCGAAAAGAGAATCACTATAGATGAACTTCTAAATATTTCCAGGTAAATTTTAAATGTCTATGTATTGATCATCGATAATGGCTTCTTCTGATAAAATTGTTCAATAAATTATGCTAATTTCTGATTTTCAACAGCCATCGCCTGCGTAAATATTCAAATTATTAAATGAAATCAAAATGAACCTACAGCAAAATTTTATTCATTTTTAAAATTTTATCCTTGATAGAAAATGAATAAAAATAATTTGCTTTACAAAATAAAAAATTCGTTTCTATAAATGTTTCGCAAATGGATCAAAATTTCCTTTTTACTATTAATGACTTTTATTATTTCATTTTTATGAATCTTTAAATTTTGAATAATTTGACACGAATTGTTTATTCTATGCTTTTCACAGTCTAATCATTTCTTTAATATGGCAAAGAACTACCCAAGCCTTTGAGTAGTCAAAATAATTGTCGTCAATAGATTCCCATTGAAACCATTCCACACTAAAACTTGCTTAATTGATCCATTGTACCTGAACGCACGTTAACGCGAAAACTTTAAGAAACTGTTTAACTCTTTGAGTGAGATTGTCGCCATATGGCATCAATAGGAGAGCTTCCTTTGAAGAACTTTGCAATTTACGAATCCATCGATTTAAATCAATTGATATCTCATAATATTGCAGTTTTAAATTATGTCGTTTTTATTTACGCTTAGTTTAATGTCTCTTGCTATAATGTTTTAACAATATATGCGTTGTCTAGCACAAGATCCCCAGAATGGGGCATGAAGCTTGTTACTCTAACGAACTTCTCTGCAAAACAAGCTTGTTAACCTTCATGCGATGACAAAGTAGACATTTTAATATGTTAAGCATAATTTAGTAGACGGATACATTAGTGGGCCATTTAGTCAAGATATAGTTCAGTATACTAGCAAATAGGTACAAATCTCTCAGTGATGATCGTACTCAACACAATAGTAATTGTTTGTGAGCCTTGCGTATTAATTATTGTTTCATAGGAAAACAACTAGACAAGCATAAATCCACTTACTCTCGCTACCTCTCTCTCTCTCTCTCTCTATATATATATATATATATATATATATATATATATATATATATATATACGATTGTGTTTAAGTATGAAGCAAACTGTCGCCACTTTAACCCATAAATATAAGATACCTGAAAACTATATTTTTATCATATACACTGCTGGCCAAAATCTTAAAAGCAATGAAAAAAAATTAAAAAAATATACCATTTGCGCTGTTATACTCAACCACTTATTTGAGTAGACCTTAAAAATTAAAAACTTTTTTAGCATTTCATAAGGAAAATTTCAATACTAAGAAATTAGTCTAAATACTTGCTGGTCAAAAATTTAAGACCATATTTAAAGGAAGCTTTAAATTTAGTCATTTATATCCCAGCATTGACGCAGTTAAGATTCTCAAGATCAAAAATCTTCGATCCTTTCAAACATATTTGCAATCTCTGTCCTGGCTGTATCTCTTTTATTTTTTTCTTATTAAATAAGAATTTATGTCAGCCTAACATAATGTCACCGTTTGTCTACTGATATTTTTACTCATGTTAAAGATAGTGTAATCAATATGAAGATAAATGTTCAATAATGATACAATTTATTGACCAGTGATTAAAACTTGGACTTCTAAAATGTTTGTCTTTTTTTTTTTTTTGGGGGGCTTTCAAACTCATCACTGAAATCAACTTGTTTCTTTTTTTATTTTATTTTATTTTTTTTGTTTCTTAAATATCAAGTCACATTCAAGAGAAAAATGAAGTAAAAAAAAGACATATAAAAGTATTTGATTCCTTTTAGTTTTATAATCGCAAATCTTTTTTTTCATTTTCAGGAATTGAACACACCCACAACGACCTTAAGGCTAACTACGTAAGTTGACGTTAAAATCTTTTGCTCCCATTTTGTCGCTAAAATAAATTTTCCAGAAAGAAACAAAATATGTATTGGTTATTAATAAAAATCGGTTTTCTTTAAAAAGAATATTTAACAGTGTCATGGTCTGAAGATTGCGTTCAAGCACGAAACAAACTGACACCACTTAGTGTTGACTTCAATGTCCATCTTTACATTTACATACGCCCTATCTCTGATATTGAGCACTATTGCCCATAAATATAGCATACCTTGAAATTATATTCTTATCATAGGCCATGTGTGTTGTATTTGGATTAGACTATATATGCTAATCAATGATACAGTATTTGTATTAAGGTCTATTGTATTATCCTGACGGTTACTGATTGGGTGGTTACGTTTATGTTTCAAATGATTTCAGAGGCAATTGACTAGAAATTATTGTGGATCCAAATGCGGTTATTTATAACTTTTTATAACGTTCTTTCTTAATTTTGACTCATCATTTATTATTGATTAATTAATTATTGATTGTTAATTATTATTACATTTACTTGATTTTATTCGTAGTTTGTTAATTTATTATTTACTTTATTTATTTAGATACTTTGTTTATTTATTTCAGGACTTGTTTATCTTTCACAAGATATTCGTTTTTAATTTTCGACACTAAGTAATGTAGTAAAAATTTGTTTTGGTCTCGATATGCTCTGATAATTTGTTTAGTAATTTGTGTTGGACTGGGGAGGTGATTATGGCTATTTTCTTCTTCAGAGTTTACAGTTATTTTTATTTATTGTTTTATGCTGCTGCTCTTTTCCTTATTTTCTATGATATTTTTGGTGTAATTTGTTTTGTTTTTTCTTTTTAATTTCCCATATATGTTTAGAAAGCAATGTTCTGTTCGCGTATTCACTATTTGTAAATTATGTTTTTGTGCATAGTTTCTATGCTTTCAAGCTCTTTCAGTTGTATATTTTTTTCGTTATCTGTTGATTTTACAGTGGATTGGTATATTATGATGTTTCGTAAGCAATTACAATTTAAGAGACATTCATTCTTTGCTCTACAATTACAGGTGGGTTAGGTTTGTGCGCGTGGTTTGTTGGTTATTTTTTTGTTTTGCTTCTTTATTATTTGTGTCAAGTTCTCGCTGCAACTGTAGCTGATCGTTACTGTGTTTCTGTTAATATCTTGTGGAAAGTGCTTCATGGGGAGGGGTATGAGTCCAATGAATATTATCTCTACCTTTGTTTTTACGCTTTTGTTGTACGTTGGTTTGAATCATATGATGTTTCTTTTCCTATTGGCTTTTTTGTAATGTTTGGTGTGCATGTGGGTGTTGCCAAAAATTCTTTAAAGTCTGTTTCATAATCTTTCCGTTGAAGATTGATTCATTGGAAGTATTTTCGGATAACCTGAGGTTAATTAATTGTGGGATTTGCTTGGTTATTGATGTAAGCATGTAAACTGGTTTGCCGTGGAATTTTCTATATGATTGATATGTGCCTTTTCTTAGGTTGAGTGTGCCATCTAGGAAATCTAATTCTTTTTTATGTCTATGTTGAATCCCATATTTTTTAAAATTTTATGATTATATTTTTGGTTTTGTCTGTTACACTTTCTTAAGATTCAGAAAGCGTCGCCTCTGTGGAGGCCTATATCAATTTATCGACTATTCTACTTAGTTCAAGTAGTAAATGTAAACCTATAAGCCCGCAAGTTTTTGCATCATCAGCATTTCCCATTGTAATATCAAAAGTTCCTTCTCTCTTTAGCCACGTGTCTTAATTTCCGAATAATAATGATTTTCGGTAGTGCTTAATGATTTTTACTTTGTGCATATTTTTATTTGTTTTGGGGCTAAAAAGTTGACCTCATCTAGAATAGGTTAAGTTATAGAAGGCTAGAAATATTTTATATCTAGTTGTATAAATTCACAATTATGATTACATTTTAGGTTGTGGAACCAGTGTATAGTTGGGTTTTTTGGGGGGGTGGGGACACAGGTTTACTCTTGACTTCTTTCTTAATTCAGAGTTATTTCTTTCTAATATTATTTTAATTATTTTACCCAGTTCACGTTTATTTGAGTTTATGAGTCTGCATGTTGGATTTGTTTTGAAATTTTCTTTGTGGTCTTTCACTGTAATGAATGCTTGTGATTTAACAATAAAATTTATTCGATTGTCTAGATCTAATGTTTGGACGATTTTTCAGCTTACGTGCTAATATCTTGTTCTGTAGTTTTGGGCGCTTTTCCATATGTTTTAGTTACGTTGTCTTTGAGTAGTTTGTTGTGTTGGGGGGGGGCTTAGTTCATATAAATTTCTAGTTTTTTTCTGTTGCGATGAATACGTTATGAAATTTTATCTTTCTTACTAAGTTAAATCTCTCTCGAAGTTGTCTAGTTTCTAATATTTTATATTTACATGCGCTTTGTCCCTGATATTGAACACTTTTACGCATAAATACAAATTTGGGGGGGTGAGTTCTTCACGCCAAACCGAGGACAAACTTCCGAATAAACATACGTCCGCAAATCCTTCGTTTTTGAGTTATTAAATTTAAAGAAAGTTTATGGCAGGTGGCGCTGTGTTGCCATGTAAACTAGATTACATTTATTATTCGTGTACATTTGTGGCTAGTCTCTCTTCAATGTTTAATGTTTAACGTATTAAGAATTTCTGGACATATATTTATATAGACTTTTGTCCTGGCTTTGGTGTGAGGAACCCGCCCCTAAAGTTTGTAAAAGTATTTTTGATACACCCTGTATATAGATATGCACACTGCTGGATTAAATTATTGGCAGGGTCTGATAACAAATTTAGTAGTAAAGATTTTATGAAAAATAGAGCTGCATATGATTAATAAATATATAAACAACAATTCTTAATATTTAATTTTGAATAATTGTGCAAAATGGAAAAACAGTTTTATAGTCAAATGTACATTCTTTTTAAGTTATATTTTCTAATCGTTTTTCGGTAAGACTTTCCTAAAATAGTACAAACATCTGCAAGAATATTTTACCACTTTTTTACCATTTTTATTCATGGATTCAGGTCGGCACTCTGTGAAGACTAAAGTAATAGTTTTATATTATCTTGAAAACATTTTCTGGACTAAATTTGTTTCAGATCATTGTCATGAATGAAAATCTTGATGGGTGTTGACTTTAATATCCACTTTTATATTTACATACGCTCTACCACAAATATTGAATATTTAACCCTAAATATAGCATACCTTAAAACTATATTTTTATCATATATACATATAGATAGATAGAGAATATAATGTATGTGTTCATATTTACACTCTTACTAACATAAATACATTAAAATCGATATTTATCACCATCTATATATTGTGAGTGCGCCTAGAGTAGAACAATGATTAACAAATCAGCTAGAATCGTGGCCTTTGTGTCAAACGACATTCACCTACGTAAATATTTGCCTAAGGCACCAAGTTATCCACCTAATATCGTGTGGTGTGATACTGGTGAGATACTGAACTATCGCTTCCTTGTACTTGACTAGGACAAAATAAATATCTACACTGCGACTACCGTAGAGAAAGTTAGTTTTATCGACTATTAATCGTATAGAGCCTTGCTAGGTGCCCTGAATAGCTGTATGCTGGTTTCTGTTAGTATGTGTGTCTGTGCCTGTGTACGTGTGTTTGTGCGTGTGTATGTTTGAGTGTGAGTGTAAAATTAAATGAAAGAAGTCAAAAAGTAAAACAAAAAAGCACCAAAAATACAAAAAAATTAAACAAAATAATCGAGAGACGATTTCAGAAATCTGTAAAGAAAAATATCACTCAACTAAAATATTTTTAAGAAAACTAATGAAAAAAATAAGTCTTTCAAATTTCATTATTAATCCAAAAGTTTATTTTTTACACTTCATTTTGGAGATAAAATTTATATCATATTTTTGTATTTTGATTATATTGATTTTCATTGATTCGCACATTCATAACAGCTAAATATTGCGTTATATGATTTTATTAATGTCTTTCTCTCTCATTCCTCTGTTTCTCTCTGTCTCTGTCTCTGTCTCTGTCTCTCTCTCTCTCTCTCTCTCTCTATCTATCTATCTATCTATCTATCTATCTATCTATCTATTTATCCTGTTCACTTCTATATGTTTACTTACATATCGATGCTCGTGAAAGGTGCATGTAGGCATATATGCCCGTGTGCTATTTTTCAAACTATAGACTAACACATCTACATCATTTTTCTTCTCATATATTTTTGATAATAGCTAAGATGGTATACAACTTTTACACAGACACATTTTGTTGCCTTTTACAAAAAGAGTTTCAAACATGTGATGGCAATTTTTATCCGCAAATAAGATATCTTTCAACCACGAATGAATTATTATCAGGTTGTTTAACCTGATATATATGTGTTTATACACATATACACACACACACACAAACACACAACACACACACACACACACACACACACACACACACACACACACACACATATATATATATATATATATATATATATATATATATATATATATATATATATATATATGGGAATTGTAGGAGCGAACAGAAATATAAAGACAGATTTTGAGTGGATTTGACATAAAGTGTATAAATCTCAATTGTTACTAACACAATTTTCTTTATGAAATAAAAAAGGATCCGAAAGCAAGCACAGATCTGAACGACCATGATCCTGATCCATTTCCACGCTACGATCCAACCAATGAAAACAAGTAAGCTTCTTTCATTTTTCATTTGATCTGGAGTTTAATTGCCTTTCTTTTCAATATGCACATTTTTTTCTCAACATTTGTTGGTCTTTGTTAGGTTTTGCCCCCCACACACACCAAATTTCCCACTGTCTATAGTTTATGCGATTATGTTTATCTTAGAAAAATGCTTGTGTTTCACACTGATGTTTTCCTTTTTTTTCTTTTTGTTCTTTCTCTATATATGAAAAATGTTTTGTATATTAATTATTAAGAGCTGAATACGCTATTGGTATCAATGTCTGTTACTGCTCATTCGTTTAGATTTTTTACAGATCTGCGCGGTTGGTATTACAATCAGACGTCGACATAAATAAATTTAATGAAAACTATGGAAAATATCAGTTGTAGACATACTTTTTTTTTGGGGGGGGGGTATACTTTAAATACTGCCCATATTAGCGGCGTTGCATCGAGAAATGTGGGTTGAAATTTTAAAAAATCGTAAAATTTCTGCGCTTCTTTATTATTAAATAGAATTTTTTTTTTTATATTTCAACTGATGAAAGAATAGATAGATTTATGTATTTTAATAATGTTTATCTTTCATAAATATAAAAGAAAGAAATATTTCTATAAACAAATCAATCAATGATTGATCCACAACTAAAATACGAAAGGTTTACTTTTGCACCTTCTTTTTTCAACCTTTTCCCACTTTTTTTGTGATTTCAGTTTTTCTTTCTGTCCCCCCCCCACCTCGCTTCTTTATTTCTTTCCCTCTATTTTTCTTTCTTTCTATTTTTCTTTCTTTTTAGACATGGTACGAGATGCGCCGGAGAAATAGCAATGCGACCAAACAATGGTTTTTGTGGAGTTGGTGTTGCTTTTAACTCCAGGGTTGGAGGTAAGGCCTAATTAATTTTCACATATACGATTAGAGTCATGTAAAGAGTGTTCGTCTCTTTGTTACCTAAAACATGAGGATTCATATGTGAGTAAAGGCCCAGCTAAGATTTCTGAATTTTATTCCTGGTAGAAATTGGGACATTTCTTTCTTCAATATCCCATGGCCTTTTGCTAGAACTGAATCTCTGCCTTCTCCAAGCCCAACGTCATTTTGCAAAAAGGGACACTGTAAAAGTCTGTACGATAAAATATCCTGCATAATGAATATTTACCCAAGAATAAGCTGTTGGCAAATGTGCATCATTTTTTAATTAATGTCATCAGAAAAATACTTTTATTTCAATAAAGTCTTCATTAATGAAACAATGCAATTCATATAAAGAATATGGACGCTTGATTTTTACTTTTGTTTTTCATTTATTTGTGTATTCACTTATTTTAATGTTATTGTATCCCAGATTATTTCATTACTAGTTTAATATCAACTAAGGAGAGGCAATAAAATTAAACAGAACGATCGTTTATTAATCGTAAGGGAATCATAGATAATGGCTCTTTCAATGCATCTTCGCCTCATTAAGTTATATTATGCTTTCATTGAAACCGCATCTTTCCAGGTCAAAATTGTGATCACAAAGGTTCCGGTTGCACACGAGTACATTGAGTGGGTTGTTAAATTTTTAAGTCCCTTTTATGTTTATGCATATTCTTTTCTTTAAAATTTCGGGTTATTTCGCCGATGTATTTTAAGAGGCATTTTTACATACTATTTGGTAGATTCCTGCTTCTGATGTAAAGTTATTTTACATCAATTAAATGTGTAACTATAGCTACATTTCTATCACATTCATCGTAGGTTTGTAGGTCATGTATCTAATTTTGACGAGTATACTTTATTCACTTATATGCATTATGCACGCTTTTCGTTTAGCATCTCACACACACACACATATATATATATTATATCCTTCATTCACACACGTGTGTGTGTGTGTGTGTGTGTGTGTGTGTGTGTGTGTGTGTGTGTGTGTGTGTGTGTGTGTGTGTGTGTGTGTGTAGAAATGAGACAAAATGGGAACAAATTTAATGACAACGCTTTTCGCCTTCGTGTGCTAGGTTGACGTCTTCAGGTCAGGATGAAAGACAAAACTGTTAAAACGCTTTTCTACTTCGTCTCATCTCTCTACTTTTGTTCAGACTCTAAATCCTTCTAACATGCATCTATATATATATATATACTCTCTCGGCCTGAGACGCGAAAAGTTGAAAGCGCATGTGCTTTCAGTAGGGGTTACCGACACAAAACATTCATCCATAGATGTATGTTGACAACCACTTGTCTTTGGAATTCAACGAGAGAACAGGATTAATACTGTCAATTACTGTAAACCAAGCTTTGAGATATTTATACATATTTACGATGAACTGTCTTTACTTTCGTAACACAGTATTTAAGCCGAGATATTCGCTGGTATTTGATCTTTGGAACTTACCAAGTATTTTCTTTATTTTCCTTTTCTTCCTTCATTTTTTTTTCTCATTAACATTACAGAATAATGTAAGCGAACGTTTTCAGCTCGTCTTTTATATCAAGCAGCAAACGAGAATGAAATTTGATTAACTCTTTCTTTCTATTATTTACAGTTGGACGAATGTCTTCATCTTTTTGTTGTTATCACAAAGTTTCGCTGTTAACTCGATGCCAGGAGCACTGAAGATTTTATATAAATTCTTCAAATGAAGTGCATATAAAGAAAAACCTTAATTCGCTAAAAATATTTTGATCATTTACACATTCATTTAAAAAAAATTTCTGTCTTACAAGCGGAGTAAACGTGAGAGTAAATGCCAATCTCGCGTATTTTCTTGTTGATACGAGGCCGAGACGAAAGCTTAAGCTTCTTTCCAATGATTGTGTTCGATTAGTTTGCCCTATGGTGGAGACGAAAAAGTATGAAAAATGAAAAACTGAATTCAAATACCATATCATGTGCTACTTGTCGGAGGTCACTATCCTACTACCTAGTTTATATTTACTGTTTCCTTTGTCAGAATTCCCTTGGTCATGAACACAGTAATCTAATAAAATATACTGCTCATAAAAGGTAACAGCAAAAACTGTACTACATTCAACTCGCACACACAGTTCAAAAAACGCTCATACTTTTGGCTGGGACCTCGTACGACTGAGAAATTCGGAAGAATGTATCCGTTCATAAACGTAGTATTACAAACAACAGAGAGAAAGAAATACATCTCAAAACATAGAAATAATAATGAAAATATTTAATGTCAGAAATTACATGTCAAAATTGTTTATTTTCATACCAACCTAAGGACGCTCACCCTTAAATCGGCCAGTCTAGTATTCAGAAAATGTGTAAAAATCCGTTTGGTAAGTTTGTGAGCATTACATGTTGGAGAAGATTGAAGATTCTAGAAAGATCTCAATTTTGCCAATAACTTTTATTCAATGCATTGGAAGTTAGAACAATCAAGCTTCGTGCAAAATGATATTAAGTCAACATCCACATTATGAATTTTCTTAGTCAATTATCTTTTCTGATAGCAGCAGGACATCTCCATTTTTCATGTCCTGTCAACATGATTGCAATAATTTATTGAACAACTGATTCCCTGTAAATCGATCGATTCTTACGAGTAATCAATGAATTGTGATCTGTTTCGTTGCAGGTGTGCGCTTCTTGGACGGTCCCTTGACGGATATGATCGAAGCAATGGCCATCGGCTTTAATCACAAATACATTGATATCTACAGCGCCAGTTGGGGACCTGTCGACAATGGCCAGACGCTCGATGGACCGGGAAAAATGGCTACTAAAGCATTCGAAAAAGGAATTCAAGAGGTAAGAAAGGCAAAGTACAAACCAAATTTTTCTTTCACTTTAAAATAATCGATTTTGAGATGGATCATACACATTTGTTAAAAGCTTGGAATTTTGTACCATCTTAGTTATCTTTTAAAGTTAGCGCCTTATAAATTGTATTTTCTACCAATACATACTTTCTCGGCTCTACTCTATACGAAGTTTACTCTCTCTCTGTATCTGTTAATGCCTAGATAACAGCTATTTCTGATGCTATTGGCTGATATAAATCGATATCTTTGTTACGAGTCTTTTCAAGTGATTTTCACTGATATTTTAAACTTTATTGATTCAAGAATTTTCTATAATTTTGTTGTTTTTCATTTCATTTTCCTAAACTTCTTCCTCACATGTTTTGACGCTAATATTTTATAATGAGTCGCAATTTGTTGACCAAAAGTCTATCAGAAAGTCGCATCGGAAATGTTAAAAGGAAAAAATGAAATATTTTTGAAGCTTTGGAAAAGTATTATTATTATTATTATTTCATGTGCTATTCAACAAATCATCTTTATTTCAATTTTACTTGCTCTCTGATGAAAGAGCGATCGCAACAATCTAAGAAATATCGTCTCTTCTTCCAGAAGGATTGGGTCTGGTCTTCTGGACAGAATTGAATGATCCTTGGGAATTTCAATTCCCCTTATATTTTTCTTTTCTTATTCTCTAAAATTGATTTTTCTTTTCGTATATATCATTGGTTTACCGATCACGTCGTTTGCATAGTTCCCGATGGATTATATTTCCAACCCAGTCATATTTATTTTTATGTTCTCCTTCTGAGCTAAATTTCTGCATTTGATAGACGCGACGCTGTTTACATTTATTATTATTTATTTTCTCTGTCGTGTCCATTTTGCCTTTTTATAGTCTCGTTCTTCTCCAACATTAATAATGATTCAATTTCTTTCTTCAAATGTCTTCTTTGTAACCATAACATCTGCAATTTCATTTATTTTTCTCTTAAAATTTAAAAAGCGTTGTTTTATTGTCTATATAATCATTAAAACTGCCGCACTTCAGGCCCAGATAAAACCATTCACAGTCCAGTTTAGTTCGTTGTTGTTCTCATCATTGCCGGGTTCCATTGTGACACAGTCATTGAAAAAGAGGACTTCATCTGGATCATTTTGTATATGATGTTTTTATGTCCAGTCGAATTATTTGATAATATGTTTGGTTATCAGTCGCCATGATTCCAAATTCTTGTACAGTTTAAGTATTTCAGTTTCTGTATTTTGTCTGAATTTTCAGATTTTGAGAACTAAACAAAGCATTTTTGTCATTGTGGGAATGAAACACTTGGCTTTTTCAAAATGGCATTCGCGACCATAATACCCATCATAAGTGATCACTGGTTTCATTACACTTAATATCAATAGTATTGTTAGTAGTAGTAGTAGTAGTAGTAGTAGTAGTAGTAACAAATTTATTATCATCATAAACGTTAACTATGCTTCATATTCGGTGATCATTTTCTTTTAGTTTATTTACCCTGTGGTCCGCTGAAATGGGTTCTAGTGCAATACTTAGCATTGCCTTTGTTTTATTTAACGATTTCAAACTATTTTCTTCTTTTTCTTCTTCTTCTTCTTCATCATCATCATCTACTTCTTCTTCTTCTTCTATTATTATTATTATTCACTTATTTTTATTGTTTTTCGATTATTATTTAATTTTCTCACCAATAGTAACTGATGGAGATTAAATGATGGCAAATTTCTTCAATAATCCAGCATGTTTCTTAACCTTCTGCTTTCAGCATCACTGTCACTTGAACGTTCCCGACTCTTTCCATTTCTTTTTTTCTTTTTTTTCTTCATTTCTTAATTTCCAATTCTCCCAGCATTTTTCTCAGACTCTTCACTATCGTTTCCAACGCTCCCATGATGACTGGGACGACTGTCAACTTCTCTCTAGCATTTATTTATCCAAAATTACATTTATTAACGGAAACACAAACATAAAAATTAGAACTATAATTTCTTGATAGGTTCCTTTTATTTATTTTACTTTAAGATCAACAATCATGAATAAGCAACATTCAATTTCTGAGGAAAGTCTTCTCTATTAATTCAACTATAATCAACCATCACAAATTTGTACGTAAACATAATTATGATCCTTATTTTAATCACTGTTGGCATAGGGACGTGGTGGCAGGGGCAGCATCTACGTGTGGGCCTCGGGCAACGGTGGACTTCACGAAGACAATTGTGATTGTGACGGCTATGCTGCTAGCATCTATACAATCTCAGTAACCAGTGTCACGTCCAAAATGGACAAACCCTGGTACACTGAAATGTGTGCTTCGATTATGGCCAGTACATTTTCTGGTAGTCTCATTAATACTGGAGTGGTGAGTATTAACGTTTAATTTATTGTCTATGTATTTGTTTGATTACACGTCAAAAGAACAAGTCACGATTACACATATTATTTGAACTAATACCCTCGTCTTTGCTAGTCTTTTGTTGTATATTTTCTCGTGACATTTTTATCTTTCCGAGATGTAGCTAAATTTTAAGATAAAATATTGTCATTATTCCAGGAATTATTTCAGATAAAACTTTTGTACACATCGATTCGACCGATGTGTTGCTATTGATAACAAAAGTAACAGTTTATACAGTAATATCAATGCTTCGTCACATAACTTTTAAACACCATCCATCAAAATGGTAAAGTTTGGTTACAGTTTCCGAAAAATGTTCGCTTTCCATAGAGCATATTGAGTCTTCTGTCAATTTCAGTTCTGAGATTTCTAGTTGATCTGTGTCTGCTTTTGCCAAAAGACAATAGGCCTTTAAATTTCTCCGGTGGAAATATTGACAGTTTTAAAATTTGTCATTGACCGTTTTAAAGTTGTCATTGACAGTTTTAAAGTTGTCATTGACAGTTTTAAAGTTGTCGTCTCTCTGGCTTTGAATATTTGCCAACATCAATGCCAAAAATGTCTAAGATATCTTGATGATACCTAAAATCAAAGACTGCCTTTAATGAAATTTTTTGAAATATTAAAAAGCATTTTCGTTTATTTTCATTTTTCCTCACTTGAGCATTCGTCGATCTGTGCCATCTTTACGATTGCGATAAAGTTGCATTGCCAATAATGTCTTACGTGGTACAGGTGCTTAAAATTTATGAACAAGAAGTGTATTAATTATGATTGGGCCCAGGGATCTGTTTCTAAGCCAGCACCTCCTAATAACATTTAAAAGGGTTTTTACGCTTAGAGGCATATACTTCTGATATTTTAAAATTCTCCAATGGAAAAACAAATCGTTCTTATGAAATCGATGCAAACGTAAATAACTCATTAAGTACATCCACTCCCCTCTTTGCATCCCAGGCATTCACAGGTTTTGGCAAATCCTTACAACTCCTCTTGAGGGTAATTGGCACCTCATGGGTGTAACTGAAACTGTCATATTATATGAATCAGCTTACGATTGGTTTTTATTGGATTTTTCGAAATTACTCAGGGGATTATTGCTGGTCTCGTCTCAAAGCTGACATTTTGTTTACGATGCGCAGATAATAATAATAATAATAATAATAATAATAATAATAATAATAATAATAATAATAAATTTGGATAAATGTGCTAAAGCTACAGTTTTACGAGGATCGCTACAACAAACTTCCTCTATTAGTTTAGACCCTGCTGTAACAATAAAAAGATTTAGAACAAGGAGAAGCTTATAAGTACCTAGGTGTAAATGAGAGTTTCACCATAAGAAAATGAAAAAATATGCGTAAAGAGTACTATAGAAGGGTACGACTGGTATTAAAAACTGAATTGAATTCTCAGAACAGAATTATGGCCCATTAATAACCTTGCCATCCCAGTGGTCCAATATAGTTTCAACATCTTGAACTGGACTCTAAATGACATCAGACAAATGGATTCTAAAACAAAGAAAGCTTTTTTCTAAGTATAAGATGCATCATCCAAAGGCTGATGTAGACCGTCTATACATACCCCGTAAAGAAGGTGGAAGAGGTCTTATTCAGCTAGAATTGTCATACAAGACAACAACTATTGGCTTACTAACACATGGAAACAACAAATGACTGGATGATAAAATTAGTGAAACAACATGAAAACAGAAAGAAAAAATATTCAATAATAAAAGAAGGCAGTAAATACAAACAACATTTACATTTAGTAGATTCTGTAGTAAATCAAAACAGAAGCCAAGAACCAAATTGCAGCAAAAGAAATAAAGCCCTTGAACAGATGAAACAACGCTGGCAAGACAAACCTCTGCATGGCCAATATCCAGAACGTGCAAATAAACCCAATGTTGATAAAGTTAATACTCATCGATGGTTACGAGCATCTGGATTAAGTCCCTGAAGGCTTTATTCTTGCAGCGCAAGACCAGAGTCTTTTCACTAGGAATTTTCAGGCAAATATCATACATAATAATGTGGATCCAAATGCAGGTTCTGTGACAAATACCAAGAAACAATAGACCATCTAATCTCAGGATGTTCTATACTTGCCCCAAAATGAATATAAAAATCGTCACGATAGAGGGATACTGGACAATGTGCAAACACTTTGGAAAATGTGTAAGCAAACACTGGTATGAACATCGGCCAGCGCCGGTTACAGAAATAGAAGATGTCACCATTCTATGGGATTTACCATCCACACACAGACAGAAAATTGAAGCAATAGGCCGGACATCATTGTCAAAAACCAGAAAGAAAAAAAAATCCTGCCTACTAATTGATATTTGTCCAGCGGATTGTAACATAGCAACCAAGGAATTTGAAAACTATCAAAATACAAAGACCTGGAAATTGAAATAGAAAAAATGTGGAAATTGAAAACAAGAATAATACCAGTGGTAATAGGTGCACTTGGAATTATAAAAAATGGAACAAAAACAACACATTGAAAGAATCCTGAAACCCCAGCTTAAGAGACATACAGAAAATTGTCTTATTAAGTACAGCACACACACTAAGAGAACTTTGTCTATGTAACGCTAGCAACTTCATTGGAGATAAAAAAAAAAAAAAATTAACAAATGTGGCCATGCCTTAGGTCTTTCCGCAGACTTGGTAGGTAGTGTGTCCATAGCAGAAATCGAATGATGATGATAATAATAATAATAATAATAATAATAACGAAAGAGCAACAATAACAATAATTCCAATAATAGATAGATAGATAGATAGATAGATAGATAGATAGATAGATAGATAGATAGATAGATTGATTGAAACTGAGATTAATTGGTTAATCGCAAACTGATCTTTGGTGTAAACTATTTACTTGTGATATTTAGAGCTCCTCTGAATAAACTAAGGCCTAAATCCTAGAAAAAGTTAAATCGGGAAAATAAAGAATTCAATTTTATGAGGTGAAGATAAATAATATCAGAGATATAGCGTATGTAAATATAAATATGAGTATTGAGGTCAATACTCAGCGGCGACATTTTGTTTCATGTTTAAACACAATCGTAAATCATCTAAAAGAATTACTGAATTAGCTACGAGATCACGATTCAGTTTGATTAATCAAAAAGTAGGTTTTTATGACGTATCACCTTTTCTAGCTAAGATAATAATTAAGGAAAATAATATGATATTATGAAAATAGATGCTGGTTAAACATCTTAATAAGGATTTTAATTAAATTTTATTCTTTCCTTAACACCTGAATAATATATAATCATGAATTATATTTTGAATTATAAGTATTCACTATTTTCTTTGGCTATATATGCGTTATTTTTCTCACAAAAACATTACTTCATTCATTTTTATTTTCCTATGTCAAATCACCATATTTAAATTTTATTTTAACATATTGCTTACGTAAAAATCTCATTGATTTGTTCATGGATATATTTTTACAGTTTTATTGTTAAAATTTTTCAAATTGGCCACAGAATTTTTATATTTAGAGTTTACCATAGTAACAGCTTTTCCTTAGATTTTTTTTCAGTTATGTGTTTTGATAATATTCACATAAAAGAAGCGAAATGTCAACAAGAAAATACAAATTTTCAACTATATAGATTTGTGTGTGTATGTGCATATGTGTGTCTCTGTGAAACGTAGCCAATTTGGAAAGGCATCATGTATTCTGATAGTAATGCTACCTTATGTCCACGGAAACTACAACTGATACAGGGAATACAATAACACCGTTGAATAGAGCAAGTATGATCTGGAGTACATATCACTAACGATCATGTGTTGCTATCGTCATATTCGCTAAAAGTTTCAATACTCATACACTTGAATAAAAATATCTACTTTTTATATATCAGCATATTTAAGTCTTTACGTGTTTAATGGTTGCTGTGTATGTGTGTGAGAGAATGCATTCCCAAATATACACCTGTACATAACAAACACACATGTACAAACAACTGTATGTGAATTTTCCCTTTTTTTCAGGTGAGCGCGGATCTTCACAACAAATGCACGACGGCGCATTCGGGAACCTCTGCTTCTGCTCCAATCGCTGCCGGAATCTTTGCCCTCCTCCTTGAATCCAAGTAAGTTGTAAGAGAAACACTTGATCAAAAAATACTATCGTTGCTATATCTTTTGTATATTGAGAATCTATACAGGCTGAAATTATCGAGGAATTACCCTCAACCTGGTTTCAGCAAAAGCTCATCTTGCCACTGTCGATTTCTGCTTCTTACAAATTCGTCTCCTTTCAGCAAATGTCATCATTAAAAAAATGTTGTGTTCAGCATTCAAATCGAGGGTCTTTTTTCGTTTTCGTTAAAAATGATTTAATTTAATGAATGTAAAAAATATCTGACATGTCCTAATTTGTGAATCCTCCAATGAATAAAAATTAAGTTTCGATTGCTTCAAATGTTTCATGTCATATTTATGATTTAGTTAACTTCTGCACAATTAACAAAAACACACTTTTAAGGAATTTGTTTAATTTCCTTAAATTTATGCTCAAACGTTTCACTCTGGTTGAATGTGCGACGACTATATATTCTTATATACCAAATATAGCTCAGTTTGGCACAAGACTACAATTATGGGCACCCAGTGAGAATGAATCTCACTACCCAGAAGTAATGATCAACCAGATCAACACACTAATCTTCAGTCCACGTCTAGGCGTTATGTTGAACTGATGCCAGTAAGTAAAGCCATTATTTTCGCAAAAATGTAAGCAATTTAGGTTCACTAAAATTTAGAAAAAATTATTAAATATTCAAAATAAAAAAAATCTGTCAGATTGCTCGACATGTGTGGAGAAATTGCTCCCAGCCTCATCAGTTGAGATTAAAATGTCGAAATTCTTGAAAAGGGTTAGGGTTAGTTTGTATTCCTTAACTAAAATAATACAAAATACATATGTTCTTTTATTTCAATTTTTTATTTGAAAATATAATTCTATAAGGAAATACATTTTCGCTGAAAACGATGAAATGCCAGTTTTATGTTGCATGCTGACATTCACGATTTGGAGTTAAAAGCCTCTAACAAAATGTACAATTTATAAAATAATCTCTTTTCTTCGATTATAAAAGATATATAATTATCACCTGATGTGGAAAACACTATAACCTTGAAAACTTACCCTGCTGAGGTCAAATATTAAATTTCTTATAGATTAAAGTCTAATTGCAGAAAGAGCTCTTTGAACTGGGAAAATCTGCAATGCTTCTCTGAAGTCGGAATATCTTTGGAAATTATGATGTTTCTACGCTTCCGTAAATTTGTAAATCTTTTTACAATATGCGTTACAGTAACGGTTAAAACTGTTGAAAGCAGATAAAAATATTCATTACCTGAATCACACGAACGACCAAACAGATCCTGTGAGGACTGTGTGTGTGTGTGTGTGTGTGTTTTCAAATGGCCCAACTCCAATGAGAAAATTATTTTATTGGTTCAAGATAGACATGCTTCAAAGTCTTTGGAGTTATGATCAAAGGACTTGATGAAAATAGAAAAAATTGTATATTTTAAAGAAAAGTGAACTCTTATTGAACGTTAAAAAAGAGACTGATTCTGCGAGTGTGAATCTCTTTATAATGACTCAATGAAGTAGAGAGCCGTGAGACGCTGAATTGCTCGTCTCAAAAGGCTAATCTTTTAAACTCCCCTCAGTTGAGACTTTACTAGGTCTTGCATGTTCCTTAACTTTGTTACCTTTATTGAAAGTAGGCTCCCGTAAAAAGATGCTGATCGGGATTACTTATAATTATTTGCAGCATTAGCAATCAAGATTTTGTGACGCACCGCTCTCATATTCATTCTCTATGAAGAAATAGAAGAGATTACATTTTGGGACGACAGATTTCTGTTCTTTGATTGAGGACTTTTTTTAAAAAAATCTTTTAAATATCGAATATCCATTTCAGTCATTGAATTCATTTCAAACCTGTCAACTATTTTATCTTCTCAAAAAGCGTATATCTCAAGAGATACCCTTCTCCATTGATCTTTTTCGATTTGACCAAACTCTGTGACACATTGTAGATCGACGTATCCCCTAAGTGGACTTCTGTAAAATAGCTGATTGAATTGACCATTGAGGACCAATGACTGGATAAAAAACTGCACAACTGTAGAGCTATGATTAAATAAAAATAGAGTCTCTCCAAGGTTTCTGGGACAGTCGCGTGTGTTGATCTAACGTGAAATTCAACAATACTTCATTAACACCACTCTTAGAATGCATTACTGTCTGTGTGTATATTTTAGCTTTTTCCGATCTTGATCGTTAAAATTCTAGACCACGGGGATCACATAGTAGCTAGTGGATGTTGATATACATAGGATATGTACTTGGAAAGCTGACGTGAAACACTATTCTTCCTTTCCTATTCCTGTTGTAACAATTCAAAAAGTATTGATAAGAACTTTTCATTTTAAAATCGATGTTTATTTACTTTACATGATCAATTTATTTCAGTATTTTTTGTTTCATTATTTCTTTTCATTTTCCTTATTTGCTTTTAATCAATGGTGGATTTTGCCCAATATGTGACTAATTTGTTGCCAAATTTTGTGCGTCAAAATTCACTCGTCTCACTTCAGATTTTTATTTCCTGTTACTTCTTTCTGAAGTTTTCTATTCCGCGATTAATAAAGAAATGTGTGGTCAGTCCACAGTTGACCTGGCGCGATGTACAACATTTGGTCGTATGGACATCAAACCCAGAAGGTCTTCGACAAAATCCAGGCTGGAAAAAAAATGGTGCCGGCTTTTGGGTAAACAGCAGATTTGGTTTTGGTCTCCTTAATGCCATCGGACTTGTGGAAGCCGCCGACCTACGGAAATGGCAGGGCTTACCCAAACAACGGTTGTGTCGCACCAGCTACAGTGGCATTCCAAGGTAAAAATTTAAAGAAATAAATTTTATTATAATAATGATAAAATTATTCTCCTGGATTTTTCTTCTTTTCAAATGAATCTTTCTTATTAACTAACCAAAAATTTATTTCTACAAGAAAGATTATAAAATACTTTAAATCTTTCATTCCTACTACAAGAAATTTTCTTTCCCGATTTTTTCGATAGTCCGAAATCTACTAAAAGAGTCAAATTTTTAAACTGAAAACAAACGTAATCTAAAAGGGAAATATCACTTATTTGTAACATGTTTAAAATAACAGATATGCTTTTAATATATTAAAATTTCCTTGTACATGCCTTGAACATTCATAACCGTAAATATGTATATAAATAAAAAGAAAGAACAGTAAGATATATAATCCGGTGTTCTTATAGATATTTTTATTTTTACAAAATAGTGCTCAATGTAAATTTACAGAGCATTAATATTATAAATTAATTGATTTAAAATATGGTTTTTCCGCTACACAGTTCTAACCATGTTTCAAAAATAGAAGCTAAAAGCCCCGAATTTAATTTTGCAATTAAATTAAAAGCATTAGTTCCATTTCATCTTCAAGCGAATTTAAATATATATTTTAAGTGGAATGAAAAACGGGCTTTAAACAACCAAGTTTTGTTTTCTTCTTTTCGCTTTCATAATGTTTTAGGCAATTTAAAAAACTCGACTAAAAAGTCTTGTTATGAATGCTTTGGCTTTAAATGGATTTCATTTCATACTATTAAAATCTATACACTATCATTAACATGATTAATGCCGATTTAGGTTTATAAAAATGGCTAGAAATATACTAAAAACTGTAGAAAACTAAAATACATTGACTCTACACATGCATTCTCTTGTGCAAGAAAAGTTGATTTAAAAATTAGAAACAATCTTTGTGTGTGGCTTTAAAGAAATATATATATATATATATATATATATATATATATATATATATATATATATATATATATATATTGAAATCTTTTCACATTAATAGGAAAAATTCCTTCGCGTTTGACAGAAAGCCATCTTTGTGGCGAAGACTTCAAAAGCATTCGCTTCCATAAAGAGGAAGTGAACGTTTTTGTCTTTTAAGTTTTATTATTTGTTAAATATTCTCTTGACTCAAAATCTTTTCTCTGAAATTTGAATGCCGAGTTTAAAGTATTATGTTTATAGCATTTGCGAAAGTTCGTAAGGCACTGGTAAATATGCCAATATTTGTTGTTTTTTCTCTACAGTCAAAATTAAGATCTTACAATCCAATGACGGAAACTAGTCTAAGCCAACACAAGTATTGTCTTTTGTCAAAAGTGCCAACTTATATGGCAATTATGTTGCATCTATTTACTCATTAAAGTCATTTAAATTTGTTTAGTAATAAATTTGAATTATTTTTTTTATATTTATGGTCGCTCTGAATTAATTATCAATTAAACTAATCTTTTTTTGTTTTTGTTTAAAGCATTAAATCATTCTTGCTTGAATTGATATTTATAGTTTATAAGCAAACTTCTGGCTCTATTTTTCTGCAGAAACCTTGTGAGTGGGAAGGAAGTTTCCATCCATATAAAAACTAATGCTTGCATTGGAACTTATAATGAAACCAACTTCTTGGAACATGTGCAAATAATCTTGGACGTCGATTATAACAACAGAGGTGTGCTGGAAATTGACGTCATCTCACCTCAAGGTAAGAGAAAAGGCCGGACTGTTTTTCCGCGATAAAATATCAAAAGAAAAATAATAAATCAATAATGCTCACAAATAAAAATCCTTTGTCGTTGTGCTTTCTCTCTTTTCATTGGTAGATTTCTGAAACCGTCATCATAATTAGTGTTTATATAACTATAAAAAAAAATATTTTGCAACAGATTGAACTGGGTTACGTGGTATTAGTATCAGGAGCAATTTCAGAAAAGTGGATTCCTGCCTTTCTCAGGTTATTAGCCTCAACTGAGTACAAACTACTTCAAGTGAAGTGTTAACCCGGTTTGCCTATTTTTGCGCTCTCTACCGTTAAAACACCTCTACATATTAATTTCCTTTCGCATTGTTATCTATACATTCTTATACATTTTTTAATCGGAATCATCACAAACAAGGCTGTATTGCCACGAAAACACAAGGAGTTACAGGATGTAGAAGAATTAGGGACAGAAACATTAATGATGAGCAGAAAGTGAAGAGAGTAATTAGGTGGACAATAGATAACGATTGACATTTCATTTAAATGTATGCAAATTAAAGCAGGAGCCGGAATGAAGTTCCACAAGCGAAAAGTGCGAGAGAAGAAACTGTTAGCATAGAATTTACGACTACGGCCAGTTCAATTATAAAATTGATGAGATCTCGACGCCAGTCTATTGCTGAGCTTAAACTCTAGATACTCATTCGAACAATTACCATGAAAGTATTTATAGAGAAGACATAAAGTGGCAAATCTACGGCAGTGGGAAAGTGACTGGAGCTGAGCCACCATATCAAGACCAATAATATTCTTCTTTGGATCTGATCAAGTAGCTCAAGGTAAATAGCAAGGGCCCCGGATCATATGTGTCAGTAATATTTTAAGCATGGACCAATGGTAGTCTTATAGATATGTAAGATAAATTCTGAAGAGAAAAAATGTCTTTGCAGCTGACCTAGCAATGGATTCAATATAGACTTTCCTCTTCATATCAGCAGAGAACGTGAGCTCGAGAAGCCATCTAACAAGCCATCTTTTGCCCCAGTTAACTACGGACTAGAGGTCGTTTTAGATGTCGGCTGCCATTTTGACTGATAAGCCTTAATATCGAGACAGGAGTAATTATTGTATTGTCAGCGTAGATACCAAGTTGAGAGCTGATCTCATCAGGAAGATCATCAATTTGAAATGATTACCACTCGCTAAGTGACATCTTAGAGACACGGTGACCTGCAGTGCTTTCCATCCACTCTGGAGGTTTAACTAACCAAAATTTGATATCTCGATTACAAGCAAAAATGTTTATCAAAAAATGACACGTAAACTGAGTACCCAATCCCGAAATTGAGCTCAAGAGGTAAAGAAGCCATTACTTCCGCTTAAATGATATATTTATCCAAGCTTCATTGTATTGTGTCAAACAGTAGAATCAAGCATCATGGCAGTTCTAGAAGCCCAAAAATATACTTTGCGAAGAGTCGAAATGTGTAATATGTGAGCTGAAGTAAATTTTAAGATAAATCCTTCTAGCAAAATTTTCATCATATGGAAGAAAATTTGTAATTTCATAAGCTTTCTTGATTTTTCCAGGAACGGAGACAAGTCTTTTGAGAGGTCGGCCCAAAGACAAATCGAAAGATGGCATATCAAATTGGGCTTTCATGTCAGTGCATACCTGGGGAGAAGATCCAGCCGGGACATGGACTATCATCATTCGAGATAAGGTGAGAGTGCATATCGAACTGGAATTTCATGTCGGTGCATACCTGCGAGGAAGACGTCATTTGGGATGAATGCATATCGGTGATAATATTATCAAATAAATGTTTCTGATTTCTACAAAGTTAATAACCATTCTTATATAGAAAGAGTAAAATAAATATTCTGAGTTGAACGATCTAAAAGAACATGACTGTATTAATAACTTTGGTCCTCCCTAGGCACGCCATTATTATTGCTTTGTGATAAACTCAAATAATTTTAATGAATACCTGAAAAGGTTTAGTAGTTCAGTAAATTTCGTTAACAGAATTTTGGAAGTATTTGAACACGTTAAAATGTCTCCAATAAGACAAAATTATCGTAAATACTCAACCATTCAAATGTTTAGACCCAAACAAATCTTTTTGGTACATTTATGTATTAATAAGTCTCGATGATTCTCTGTAATTTGTGCGTGCCGATAGTTCAAGGATGTAGCGACTGATTTAATGAAAGTAATTCTATACTTTAACAATATTGACTCTATCAATTTTGAGGAGACAAAACACAATATTTGTTGGTGCATGAAATGCAGAAAAATCGACCGCACGTTTCCATTTTGCCATTTTATGTTTTGATTTGAAAGACTAATTCGAGTTCCATGGTTAATTGATTGGTTTTGTTTAGCGACATATCAACACCTTTATGGGTTATTTAATGACGAAATATAAATATTCTGAACACAATTTTATGGTTTCAATTAAATTTATTCTGAACGCATTTGTATGCCTTCAACTGCAGATAAAATATATTGTCAGTCATTTTACTATAAATAGGTATTGTTGGTAATTTTTTTTAATATTCCTCGTATTTTTACTATAAAAGTGTATTTCTATACTTTCATAGTGTTTTAGTTTGTTTTAGGTGATTCACTATTTTCCAATAGTTGGTGCTACCACCCCGGGTCATTTGGGCCTGGGAACAATAGCATTTAATGGGTGGTTCCACGCTCCTCAAAACTTCCAATCTCATGATCAGAAGCCTTACTGTCGGGTGTAGTTTATCGTCATACCCAGGACTCAATTTGAGTTTCACACATATATTGTCATCTCTACTTGTTCCGCCATCTTGTACTATCTGAAATTGCTAAATGTAGTCATTCCATTATTAAATTATTGGAGTTTTTCCACACATTGCATTTTTGGTCAATCAGCGATTTTTCTCCTACTTTTCATCTAACAATCATTTTACAGATTTCGAGTTAAGCTAAAAATGAAGAAAAATACAATTAAATGACTTTTAAAGAATTCTAATTTCCAATAAACTGTAGACTTAAAAATAATTATTACTGAAAGTATTGCTTAAATTGTGAGTGAGTAAATACGAAATCTCGTCCGTTGGCCACGAGACAATGTACCAAGCCTTTTGTTAGATATGCACAGTTTGTTATACGCGACTTTGTATCAGCCAGATTAGAATTTCAAGTTTTCCTTGGTAAATTAGCTATCTGTTTTCGGTTTTATGGTGGATGCTTTCGATTATCTAAAAAAGAGACACCAGCAATACCCCGAGGTATACGTCGCTGAATGTTTTGGTCCTAATATTAGCTGTTTATATTTTATCTAATTGCATCTCATTCGCTCACTCCCTTACTCACTCACTAGCTAGCTATCTATTTCATTATTCGTAGTATCTAGCTATCGTCGATCAAACTTAGTTTGTTTATGTCTATAATGTTCGTCTCTTTACCTATCTTAAGTTAATACTACTTTTCCGAGGCCGTCTCAAATGTCGTATTTTGTTAAATCCAGTCCATTATAAGAAGGTTAGTTTTTAAATATATATATTTTCCATTTATTATTGCTGTATTTTGGCCTTTCATGAAGTCGATTTTTTCCCCTTTTGCCTCGGTAAATATCTTTAAAAAGTCCAGCATTGCTATGAAAACGAAACTGGAGCTTTTTGTTCCGATTTTCCAGTTTTATATCTGGAGATCTCGAAGTGTAGGAAATACCTCACAAAGGAGTGGGTCGCCCTAACGCCTTTGCATCTCGAGCCACAGGGGACTAAGTAATTTTTTTTTTTTTGCTTTTACCTACTCCTATTTGTTTAAGTCCCACATTAAAGCCGGCCTTGAGTCACACTTCTCAGACTCCGTGGAGAGGCGAATAAACATGTGTGCTTATATTTATCGGTCATGACTAAATCCTTTTTTTATTTTCGAAAAATTCGCCATAAGATAAAAATGTTGCCATTATTTTGACTCCTGTCAGGGGAAATATTTTCTGGTATTAATTAAGCTATTAAATTACTTTTATATAAATGATAAAAGGTTGTGCATATTCAAAACTATACGCCTAAAAATATATAAGTAAATGCACATTTCTTTATGAGGTTTTGGGGTTTATTTTTAATCATTTCACCTCAAGCAAGGCAATAATGTCATTAGGATGCTAGAGGTTACAAGGGGGGGAAAGTGGGGAGAAGTGAGGAAAGAACAATGAAGAAACAGGGTTCAAGAAGACAGAAGATAGAGATTGAAATTGCATTTAATTTTTTGAAGATTGCACTTAACAAGGAAGCAAGAAATCGAAAGGGCGTTCCACACGTAAGAAGTACGAGAAAAGAAACTCTTGCAGTAGAATTGGTGGTTGCATCTAGCTAATTCAACGGGGAAATGGTGAAGACTAGTTGCCAATCTAGTAGCACGCTTAAATTCATATAGTCGAGGCACTAGGGAAAAAAGCTACTCAAAGTAGTTGTCATAAAAATATTAGTCAAAAAGACAGAGGAAACCACGTTACGTTGGTGAGAAAGTGACTGAAGTTGGGATGTCAAATCAGGATCGATTATATTACAAACCCTTCTTTGAATTTTGTCAAGAATCTCAATATATACACGGCAGGAACACTAGACCATAGATTGTAGCAGTATTCAATACACGGACGAATGGTTTGTTGATTTTTTCACCCTTCTTTTGATTTCTCAGTTTTCTTAACAACGAAACTCTTACATCCAGTGTCCTAATGAAAACAGGCTTAACTTATTACATCATTTCCTTTGTATAATTCTATAATCTATTGACTGGAATGGAGTCTCATCGATAGCCGAATTTTTCGCTGTTAAATATATAATCATTTGTTTCTTATGCCACTGTCAATGAATAGTGCTCTCTAAATAGTAAGATGAACTCAATGAGAACTGTAATCCTAATTGGATTAATGAGGTGTGTGAGGATTGAAATCTCAATTGGTGTAATAGGACCTCTGAGACTACTCCGTTAGCATCTACTCTGCTGCGTGATAAACAACGTAACAATTTACTAAACTTAGAATTATTCTGATATTAGCATTAAAAAAAAAACTTAGCTTGGCCTCGTAGAAGGCCACAAATGTAGAACAGTCGGTAAGGATCGAAACTATTACAACGTTAATGGTCTATACAACAAGCTCACTTAATATTGCTCCACAGTATTGTGCCCAAAGCGGTATGGCATCAACAATGTCGTTAATGACAGAATGGCGTGGACAAAATAAAACAAGTAAATTATGTCTTCAATGAAGTCGACGGATGGACGAAAGAAAAGCAATTAACGGAAGGAACACTACTACAGCGAACACACACACACACACACACACATATATATATATATATATATATATATATATATATATATATATATATATATATATATATTGTTGTTATTGAAAAAAACATAAGAGCAATTATATAACACACTTTCATCTAGACAAGAGTATGAAGAGTCTATTCCTGGTAATAAATCCACACAGAGGAAAATAAAAACTATAATCGTATGAAGCTTTACGGGGTGATCCTTTATGGAATTTCAGAATGTCTATGAGCAATGTTTGTTTCACGTGAATTTCCGTGTTCACGCTTTCGATCTGCACATCAATTTCAGCAACCAAATGTCGTGTCTACATTTCCCGTGCCATGCTCCCCACCCACTCGCCCACGCTGCCGCAAGTTTTCAGTGCCACTCTGCCTCCAACTCACTCTCTTTATTATTAACTTTTCTGTGTCTCAAACGGCTTAACGCCAGTCAAACATGATAGATTAACAGGCAACCATTCAAGGCGTATCTATAAGCATCTTCAGTATCTAATAAGATTTTTTTATTATTATTATTTATTCATTTATTTATGCTAGCTCAGTACACTTAAAAATGATGAGATCATTTAGATAGTGGTCGACACATCCTCCTAGGAACAAAGTGCCGCTCCACAGCTCTCTGTCTAGGATCTGTTCACTCCATGAAAAGTATTACATACATGTTTCGTGCAGAAGGGCACAATTTCTTTATTAAGACTTCCGAGTGCACAGGCCGATGGACGTCATTTACACTATTTAAAAAAAAGCGGGACGTCTACTTAAATACGTGTATCCAACAATATAGACTTTATAGTAATAAGAAATTCATACGTGTGGGTGGGAGTTTAATTTGCTTTAATTTTGATTGTTCTTTCTTTTCTAAATATAGCTTTCATTGTAATTATTCTGCAGGGATCAGACACGAATTCGAGCGGAGTCGTTAAGAAGGCCACTCTGCGCATGTACGGAACAGTAAGTCCACCTGATCACGTGATACGATCCGGAGGTAAACGCCATTACCATGCCCAAATGAAGGACACGTTCCATAAACCAATTCTAAAACCGGTAAGGCTTTTTGTTAATTTTAACATTAATGCTAAATTTCTTAGTACGAAGATTTGGTGAGTGCGTACATATGATATTTCGATCAATTCTCATAAGATAATGTGGCAAAAAAATGAGAAAAGAAAGCTTTACTTCGAAAAAGAGATTTGTTTTTTTATTGTTTTGAATCTGTACCTCACCACTGCTATTTTCTACCGTAGATAAAAAAAGAAATAATGCTTTTACTGTTAAGTAAAAGCATTATTTCTTTTTAATCAAGTGACGATACCATTTTGCAATAATATTCAATGCTTATTTGAAGACATTCCACTATTACTGTTGATAACTGATGAATGGTGGTCTTCTTTTTTTTTTGATGCATCATGGAATCGTGACCATTTCTCCAGTAACTAATTAAATTACTCCACTTCAAAGGACATGCGAAAAAGGAAAAAGATGCAAAACGAATTTCTGTCTTTAAAATATTCCTTGCCTTTAAAATATTCATTGCCTTTAAAATATTCCTTGCTTTCTTAATGTTCTATGATGATTTTATCTCCATTTGCTTCTTGACAGAATGACCCTCTAAAAAACCTGGACTTAGATTTGGTGGAAAAACTTTTCGCCAACATTCAACTAAAAAAGAATCGCCAACGCCAACGCCAACACTGGCAGAACGAACTTCAACGGCAGGAAGACCAAAGAGAGAATTTCAAAGCTTATGACGAAGTATTATGGGTGTGACGTCAGATAAGATGGCGACTTCAGACCTCTTAGCACCCTCCGTACTTTTCCTATGATTATCTTAGAAAATTAAACCTATTTAACAAAAGTTTACAGTCTTTATATTTATTTATGTTCATATAATGTGTGTGTGTGTGTGTGTGTGTGTGTGTGTGTGTGTGTGTGTGTGTGTGTGTGTGTGTGTGTGTGTGTGTGTGTGTGTGTGTGTGTGCCAGGTAAATGAGAACAAAAAAATTCAATGAAAAAAAATCAGATTTTCAAAAAAAATATATACACTTATTCAACATAGGACAACTAAATAAAACTTACTTTAATTGCCTTCAGCCTCGAAAATGAATGCCCGGATCAAGTGGTTTTCGTTCGCCACGTCGACGGTGGCGGCCTTGAAAAGTCGTTGGTAATTGTAAGTCTGCTCACTTGTCTTCCTCTCAACATGATCGTGAAACCACTCGTCCCGCTACTCCTAGATCACATGGAGCACATGCGTGTTGTTCGAATACAACAAGCCTCATTTTGGACACTGCTTCGATTTAGGCCTTAGCTAACATGTCCAAGACCTCGAAGAAGTGGTGTAGTATACCATCAGAACACTATCACAGACGATCTTGATGTGCATCATCGTGGCTTCTTCTGTGGAATCAGCGAGCAGCCAAACATTCTTTTTCTTGTTCACCTTTTAGTCCCAAAGAATAAGTATAACATGCTGGTCTCCTTGGAGTGCTTAAAATTTTCACACTTCCGTGTTTTGTTGTACATGAACTTCTCGCTCCTCATCAATCAGGATTTATACCTGATGTCCACGTACACCACACGTCTGTGTCAGATTGTAAGTTGCATTATTTTTACTGGCAATGATACAATATCTCGTTAATACTATGAAAAATACAAAAAATCTTCTAATAGCGAGGGTTCAAAATGAATTAATCTTGGAACCTTCACAGATTCGCGATACGTCAGTTATAAATTAAATTTTAAAAAAATGAAAAATCTTTCTTTTTAATTTTAATTTTAAGTTAATAGATTAAATTTAATATTTCCAATAAACAAAATACATTGCTCTATGTCGAAACTAATTTAAATTGACTGGAAGAAGTTGGGGTATTTTAGGGTTTTTTTGTTATTTTTTCTAAAAATCTGATTTTAGCTCACGTTTATCGCAATGTAATTCTCTTTATAAAACGTACTTTTCTGAAACTCTTTTTGGCGAATATTAACTGATTTAGAGCATAATCAATTTGTTTTGAAAAAATATTATTTACAGAAATGCAGTTTTTAACACGGCGGTGGCTGTTTATTTAAGATGTTCACATGCTGACAGCTTGTTGACAGCTTGATGACAGATGGATGTTTATATAATGTTTTTCTTTATCTGTAAAAAATAATTGAAGAATGTAACATGATTGCATTTTAATCTAATTTTTAAGTACTCAGTAATTTTAAAAATTTAGGAAAATATTCTCCATAATCTAATGCTTGATTGAATTTTAGATACTTTCTGGCTTCAAATTTACTATAGTTATCGCTCTTGTTTTCCGATAATGTGGTGTATGAACATCCATATCAACATAAAATATCTATCTACAAAAATTTTCACGTTTATACACATACAAAAAAATTCAAAATTCTTTTTAAAATATTGGAATTTGATAAATTGTACTAAACTTTTCAATTTATGATTAGTAAATATAATTTTTACCTAATAAACGGGTGACATTAATACAGAATTTTAAAAGCTTTAAAACTTAATAAATCATTCTAATTAAAATTTAAAACAAAAAAGGAAAATAATTCTTGTAAAAATTCATTATTCTATGAAAAAATGTTTTTTTTAAGACAATAGTGTCCTTAATATATCTTATTTATAAATAAAATTAAAAGCTTTTCTAATTAAATAATGTCTTATTTTTATGGCGTTTTTTTTTTTTTATTTTACTATTCAGAGCAAATTTTCGGTAAATTTTGTTTCTCTTTTACAAAAGAAAATTGATTTAAATTTACAAAGGAGTTCTGCTTTTAATTAATATAAACATTAAGGGGTACAAAATTGTGAGTAAGTGGGAGGGTAACAGATGTAAAAATATGTTTTTTACCTAGATTTTCTGAAAAGAAGAACTTTCTAAAATAATTTCATTCATTTGTGAATAAGTCTTGAAAGTATCATTAAAATCCGACAATTATTTGATTTTTGTATGAATTTCCAAATCAATGTGTTCTTCACTGCAAAAAATACGCTAAAATTTACTATACTAATATCACAAAAAAATTCGAATGTCCTAGAAAGGATTAAAAAATGTAATTAAACAATTAAAACATACTTTAGTCTTTCCTTTTGATAATAACAGAAAGATTTTGACGCTAAAACTTTGTTTTTATCAAGTTTGAGGCATATTTTCATCTTGGCATGCTCTTTTTTTCAACGAATTAGTTGTAGTATCTAAATTATTCTTTTATTAATTTTCTGTTTGTGTATAACTGAGGAAGACAATTACAACAGAAAATCAAACGCAAACAATTCTGAATTTATTTCAATTACCTGACAGAATAATTTGACTTTTGTGATATGAACACTGGCTACTTGCCATCAACGTTTTTTTTTCCCCCACTCGACCTGATTACTCATCTGATTTTATTTAATGATTACAAATACGCAACAAGCGTAAATATTAACACGATACATTCTATCAACAAATATCTTTTTGAGCCAGTGCTAAAAAGAAGCGATTGTTTCTTACTTTGGTTCTAAACACGAGAGTGATCGTGTGACTAAAACATTAAGCAACCTATGGACGACGCATCACTATACTGTATGTTGTATCATCAACTTGTAACTACATCATAGATACATATGAAAGTCTCTTGTTAATGCCAGAACAAGCCTTAATAGAAAATATGTTTGTTCTTATATTAGCACGAAATCTTAACACCCACTGATGTAATTGTCTTAATGGGTGATATTTTAATTTAGGAAACGAAAACAAGAAATATGAAACGATTTTCTACCCGGATGCAACATCTACCCGAGGAAGGCCAAACTGCGTATCAGTTGAAATATTGTGCCAAACACAAAAAAGAGCAAGATAATATTTCGAAAATCTCAAGAATAAAGAATAGATGTCATTTCAGAATTTTACTGAAAAGCTTTAAAGTTAAAAAAATGTCAAAAATTATTTTTTGCCAGCGGTTAAATATTTTTCTTTCAATAAGTTAACTTCTAAAAACAAGCGATAAGATGCAATAAAATAAATAAATGATGATCGGATGCACATTGATATAATTACTGCATCAAACGAATCCTTTCAACAGATTGTTGCCAAAAGACTTTTGAATCTAACATGACAACGTTTGATTTTATGAATAAATCGAAATATTAAGGATATTTTAATTGTTTTGGGATTGAAATTAGTTCATAAATTTTCTATTGCTTACTTCAAATATCTCCACTGATTACGAAGATCGGATAATAAGTGGCAATCCGATTTGGAGAGTTAACTGATCTCAAGTAATATTATAAGTTAGGAAACAGAAATGTCTTTTCATTTTTTACTGAGTAAAGCATACTTAACAATAAAAAAATAAAGAATTCATCAATGCCCGCGTGATTTCCTCTCATTTGAATATACAATAAAAAAATTCGATAATAAAATAGATCAGATTATTTGGCATTGTTTCTGACATAAAAAGAGGTAGCAATATGAGTTAAATTTAAGACAACTCGATACAGAACATTTACATTCGACCGACGGCTATCGGTAATTGAAGTCAACTTCAAAGTACAAGAGCAAGACTGGGAGAAAGTGACGAGAGGAAGATTAATTGATTTTGGAAGACGATGACAGGACAAAGAAAACTGTTGTCTATAAAAATGACTATTTCCGCGCAAAGGAGAACAGAAGGAACGACGCGGGGCACGCAGAAGCACAAACTACGGCTGCTGGAGTGTTCACCTCCAGCTCACTCACACCTTAACCCGCCAACGCTCGCTTATAGTAAGGTAATACTGTTATGGGGTCCTCCCCTTTTCATATAAGTGGACTCTACCAGTGTTACTTGGAGTGCTGCCGTTAAATACCAAGAGTTAGACAGTCACAGAGAGAGGATATACGGAGAGAGAGAATATACGAACGGAGATAGTGTGAGGTAACCTCGTGTAGAAGTCAGTTACAAGCACGTAGACTCTAAGGAAGTCTTACTTCGAGACTGTATATATCTATCTGTATTTGCTACTAACCGCGTTCCTGGACTTACTAACAGTATTACTCTTTGTATGATTGTGTAAATACATTTTATTTCTTATATTTAATTCTTGCGTTTGTCCTTCATTGGAGACCGAATTCATCTCGGAATCCACAACAAATACCTAAGAATAAAATCTGGTTTAGAAATTGTTTCATTTTTTTTTTTTTTCACTTGTGGGTACCGATCTGGCCGAAGCGTAATTTTTAAACCACAGGCGTTTGGCTGCAAGTAACTACACCCTGTCAACGAACCTGGTGTCTAGTCTGAACTGCAACGTAACAGGGCTAAAATATTGGCGCCGTGACCAACGTCAATCTTCTATTCGATAACCGCATCTGTGAGAAAGCGACCAAAGAAAAAAATCCCAGAGAATGCTACTGAGTAAAGGAAAATATCCCAGTAAATAGCGATTTGATTTCTTGTCGTTTTTCTCTCTTCTTTGCGTCATGAACTGAAATCTTTGCAAATGAACTCTCTCATGTGACGAATGAAATTAGAATTTTAGGTGTGGGCATCCTCTATGATTCGTTAGCCCTCTCTCTCTCTCTCTCTCTCTCTCTCTCTCTCTCTCTCTCTCTCTCTCTCTCCTCAGGTGCAACATTGGGAGAGTTGAGGGCACTGATGGAGCGATGCTATACTGAAACCGTAGATCCCACGGAAGCGTTACAGCGACTGTCGATCATCAAACATTTAGAAGGGGAGAATGTAGAAGAATACAAGCTTAAAGTAGCCTCCCTATTTAACAAGGCTTTTATGGTTGAACATAATAGGAGTCCAGAAATGGAGAAACAAATGCTGAGTATATTTAGGAGAGGTTTGCACAGCATGCAAATACAAACTCAAATAATTAGACAGTACCCGAAAACCCTAGAAGAAGCTGCCCGGATCCCAAGTTGTGTGAAAGATCCTACAAGATGATGGAAGTCGATTACCATAGGTAGAGGAATAATATCCAGGCGATAAAAAGACATAGTGAGGGTGAGAGGAAGACTTTAAGGGATTATCGGACCGGTCAAGCAGCACTGCAGAGAGATAGCGATAGGAAAAATAGTCCGCCTACTCGAATAGTTTCGGACCGTCCACCTGAAAGAATAATTTCGGAACGTGAACCGATCACCTGTTTGAGATGCGGTCGTAAAGGACACTTGCAGAGAGACAGGAATATTATGTGCGATCCGTCTATGTCACAAAATGGACAGGAGGATTGCCGACGCTAAAAATAAATGTTATGGGAAATCTTAGTACAATTCCTGTTGTTATTGATGGCGTAAGCTATAGAGCGCTGATAGATACAGGAGCAGAGACTTTGATTATGCACGGGAGGGTGTTTGAATCTATAAAGAATAAGCCTGCTCTTGAAGATAGACAAATAAACTTACAATCAGCTAAGGAGACATAATTGAAGGTCGATGGGTATGCGACTATAAATTGTTGAGTCGGTCGATTAACAGCCAAAAACCGATTCTATGCCGTCCTGGGTATGACGATAAACTACATCCGCGACCTGGGTAAGACGATAAACTACGTCCAACAGCAAGGCCTCTGATCAGGAGGTTTTGAGGAGCGTGGAACAACCTCTTAATTGCTGGAGTTCCCAGGTCCACCCTGACCCGGGGAGGTAGCACCTGTTAGGAACACAGCTATGGGCAAATAATTAACCCCCAAACTATGAAAGTGTAAAAATAGGTTTTGATACCAGAAAAAATTTGTGAAAAAGTTATTACCAGCAATACATTTCTGAAAAAAGATATTACCAGCTATACTTTTTTGAAAACAAAATTACAATCGATACAATTTTGAAGAAAAAATTTTACCAGAGATACATTTTTGAAGGAAAAAAATTTTACCAGTAATACATTTGATAAAAAAAGAGAAATATTACCAGCAATAAAAATCTTGCCGGCATTAAATAACCCATTGAGGTTGATATGACGTAAAACAAAACAAACAAATGGATTCTATGTGATTCAAAACTTAAACATAAATATTATTCTAGGTAGTGATTAGTTGCAGAAAAATGGCGCACGTATTTACTACTATTTAGGAGCTTTACGCATCAATGATACATACACGTCTTTAGAAGAGGATTTCTTTATAGCGAATATAGCGCGAATGACCTTCAACAACACATTAAAGCCTCAGACGGCCACTTTATGTTTAGTTAGAATTAGGAATAAATTAAAGAAAGAACAGCCGGATTAAATAGAACAGATAAATCCGGGATATAACCATACGAAAATACCTATAAGTTGTTATTAAGAATACAAATCAAACGGTTACGCTTCGACGAGGATGTGTAATGGGTCGAGTTTCTCCAGCTGTCAATGTGAATACTGTCTCCAGTGGTGTGGTAGTAGTGGTAGTAATAATATAGATATCAGTAATGTCGTAGTAAAACGTTATTAGAAGAAAATAAGGATTTATTTGCGGCTACAGATAAAGATCTCCGTAGAATTGAAACGGTGAAAATGAAGATCGATACTGGTAACCACTGTCTAATTTAAAAGAACCCGTATTGTACCCCTTTGAAGCTCCAAGATCAATTAGATAAGAGTAAGGCCATCGGTGAGATGTTGGATGCTAAGATGATAGAAAAATCACGAAGCCATTGGTCTTTTCCCATAGTTTTAGCCCAGAAAAAGGATGGAAAGACATGTTTTTGCATTAACTGTCGTTGTTTAAATGCATAGAGTAATGCATACCTACTATCAGTTATTGATGTTATATTAGCAACTTTAGGTAAAGCTAAGTATTTGAAATCGTGTTATTGGCAAGTGGAGAGAGATGAAGAAAATAAAGAGAAAACAGCTTTTTGTTCCAATAGGAGATTTTTTCATTTTAATTGCATGCCATTTGGATTAACAAACAGGCCTAGTATTTTCCTGGAATTAATATCTGTTGATTTAAATGGGCTGGAAAAGTACGCAGCTGCGTATATAGACGATATTTTAATTTTCTCCGCGACAAAGAAAGATCATTTAAGACATGTACAAAATTTAAGTCAAATCTAACGAAATGTGAATTTTTTACGAAAGATATACATTATTTAGGGTTTACCGTAAATAGAGACGGCATTAAGCCTGATGAGGATAAAATGACGGCAATAAAATCATTATCTATTCCCCATTTAAAATTTAAACAGGTTCGTAGGTTTATTGACATGTGTTCACATTAAAGGCGCTTTGTTAAGAATTTTTCAAGATCAAGATGAACTGAAACACCGCATTAAAACAGGTAACGTGAATGATAAGGAAGGGAGTAAGTATGTTCTGCTGGAGGATATACTTTACTATTTATCAAATCCAGACGACGATTATATGTCCCAAATCATCTTTATATGAAGATTATACGACAATATCATGATGAAAATGGATACGTAGTAATATAAAAGAGAGCGAGTGCTATGAGGTGCAAATATTTTTGGCCTGGTATGTATAAGGGCATTGCCAATCACATTAGTACGTGCGTCCCATGTCAATCGAGAAATCTCTAAAAAGTAAATCGTAAATGCAGGATAATGACCGCCCTCATACCTCGTTGCTAAAATTGCAGTTGATGTACTAGGACCTTTCCCCTGCCCATTATCAGTCAGTCAATACATAGGTTTATCAATTTATACAGCGGATATACGGAGGCATTTGCCGTTCCTAATAAAAAAAAAAGTGAAGTCATCGCTCATTTATTGATAGATGAAATTTTTCTTCGTCTCGTTGCTCTATTGAGGGTTAGTATTAGTTGATGGCACTGAAAACGTAAATCACATTATGAAAGAAACGCTGGAAAAGCTGAGGATCGATCACGTTACTACCTCGTTTTACCAGCCTCAAAGTAATGGTAGAGTGGTGATGCTTCATCGCACGATGCACGACAAAATATAGCAAAGAGAGTAGCCGATAATGAACGATCCTGAGATATACTCTTGAATCAGACGTTAACATCTATCAAATTCAGAGAAAACGAGACAACAAAGTTTTCGCCTTTGAAACTAATATATAATAGAGATGTATTGTTACACGGAGATAATATTTTACAACCTAGACGACCTTACTATGGAGATGAACATCACGAAACAGCTTTCCAGGAACAAAATAAAGCTTTAGTTAGAATGAAAGCAAACGTATCTAAGGCAAAGAAAAAGCAACAAGAATATGCGAAAAATAAGAGTAAAAAGATTATCTTTGAAATAGAAGAACCAGTATACTTTAAGAACCACCGTAGAAGGCATAAATTAGACTAACGATGGGAAAGCTATATTCTATCGTTATAGAAAGAACCGGTCTTTTATAGAATTAAGGATCAGCTTACGGGTGTAACTGCAAAGGGATACGCTATCGATCCTCGCAATGCAAAGGTCGATGAATGGAACATTCCAGAAGAGAGAAATAGACCGATGCCAAAGGTTACCTTGACAGCACCTATGAGTGACAGAGACTCAGAGGAGAGTATAACAGTAGATCCGCCGCACGAGATAATCAATAGGTTTCGGAGGATGCGTGAAAATCCTGAATAAGAGTGTAGCCTCAGTTAGAGAAAGCAGTGATATAGAGAGAGTTAGGTTAAAAGAAAGAAATATATCGAAATAATTAGTTAGGACCCCGAAAATAAAATTAAGAAATACAGAAATATTTGTATCTGTGAGAATATTAATGTAGCGAAGTGTATTTTATAAATTTCTCTGCCCTAAAATCGACAAGTGATAAGGTGAGAAGTGGTAGTCGACGAGATCCGGAAGTAAAGTTTGTTTTTATGTTTAAGAAAGAAAAAAAGTGGGGAAAAATCACACAAAGTCTGTCTGATAAGAATATTGATTTCCCGAAATGACGAACTTAGTCTAATTTGTTTTGAAGGAAATCGAGAGTGATTTCAATGAACTTGAACGGATATCCAAAGTATTGGTGTCGGCTAGAAAATAAAAACCGAAATTTGTGGATAACAGCACAGAGTGGAATTGATCTGCACCATGTAAAACGATGTCTTTCCTTAATTTTCTGCTAACAAAAAAGAAAATATATATCATATCAACAAATGGACGCAAGGTTATTTTAATTTTTGTTTCCCAAGGGACATTAATTTGAACTGATATTCCTTTTTGTTATTATTGTTGAAATTTTATTTGTTGATTTCTTCGTTGATTATTTTATGTGCGTTGTAAACCGTCAATATTACTGTAGCGAGCGAGGGCCGAGAGGAGAACGAAAAACATCTTAATATTTTTTTTTCTTTAGGAAGTGGGCCGATGAAACAGTATGAGTTAAATTTAAGACACCTCGATACGGAACATTTATTTTCGATCGACAGCTATCATGGAGTCATATTCAAAGTACAAGATCAAAACTGAAAGAAAGTGACTGAAGGAAGATAATTTTTTTTTTTTTTGGACGAAGATGACAGGACAAAGAAAACTGTTGTTTACAAAAATAACCATTTCCGCGCAAAGGAAAACAGAAGAAATCACGCGAACCACGCAAAAGCACAGACGAAAGCTGATGAAGTGCGCACCTCACTCACTTACGCCTCAACCCGCCTTTGCTCTCTTATTGTAATAATTTACTACTAGAAATTCGTTTGTTTTTTTCACTCGTGGGTAACGATCTGGCCGAAAGATAATTTTTA